ATATTTAAGCCAGAAACAGGTGACTTGCATGGTGTTAATATTGTAGGTAGCAGTGGTGTCAATGGAGCAGAGATGTTGGGGTAGGGGATCTGACAGTGGGCTCCTCCTGTGCAAGGGCAACGAGCACTGTGCTGAGCCCATGGACCAGGAACAATGCCAAGGCACCTGAGAGAGAGAGAGAGAGGCCACCCCTCCATCACATAATCCACCAGGCAAGGGGATAAAGGCATGAAGGATCTATACCTCTTTTAATAACAAGTGTTATGGTTATTCTGAGGACTGGAAGGTGATGAAGCCATCATAGTAGTAACAGGACGCTGCCAGCTGATATTTGCAATGCTGTGACACTGCATCCAAATCTGGACATTTCATTGTGCAACACCACCCTCAGCCATGGGATCATACCAGGAGAAAAAGTTCAGATGAAGAACCTCACAGGCTGTGCTGAAAAACAGAGATATGACAGAGCTGGTAAGACTAAGGATTAATTCCTATTTTGATTCTTTTTCACTTGTGTCCTGCATTTGAACAAGGTTTGAAGGCTTTGTAAAATGAAGACTTCAGCATACAGTGAATTTCTGAGCAGAGTTATTACCTCTGGTGCCTGGAGCAAAAGTGCCCCTTGGGATGTTTGACAGGATATAATGTCTGACTTGATAATAGAAACAAAAGAAGTCCTCTCCATGGCAGATTTAGTCTCTTGAATTTACTGATAATACACTCTCCTCCAATGAATCAAAATTCCACTTCACCCACTAAGATGTCTGTTCTGTACACTGCTGACACACATGGAAATGCAAACCTCCCATGAAAGTTTATCAGAACATAATTTACTTTTTTTTTCTTTTTTACAACAAAAGACTTTGGAAGAGGGGAAAGAGCCATGGTTTACATTTAAAATGAACTCTCTGAAACATAGAGAGATGTAAAGACGTGTTGATGCAGGGCACATGCAGATCACCTGGGTAGTTCTGCACCAAGACTTCAATATGAGGGTTAGTTTGCACTTTGGTAAAACCTCCTTGCCTTTCCCCTTGCAGTGCAACAAACTCACTATAGAGAATGCATATTCAGTGCAGGAGATCTCCCCCTACCATGCCTCTTGGCAATATGTATTAAAATGTCATTCTGACCTTCGGGGGAAAAAAAAAAAAATTCTCTGCCTGAGCATAGGGTGGATGTGATCCAGCTGGCTGAGTGGAGGCATCTACATCAGAGCACTTACAGGATAGGACTTACCTACTGCCGATGTAGACATTTAAATTAAGGTGGATGAATTGCCCCTAAAATCACTTGTTTGTCACCCTTGACTGTAGTGGCAGCCTTGGGTGATGTGCTGCGGTGGCAGCATCTGCAGGGCAGCAAATGTCAGAGCAGCTGAATCCTGACTTTGCAGTTAGCGAGAGAAACTCTTTTCTGGGGTGGGGGAAATCCTACACAGGATAAAAGCGCTCGTGCTTTTACTCCATCTGGATAAGCATAGATTTGCTGTTGACTTTTGCCAGTTGGCTGGCACAAAGAGTAGTTGAAATGAAGCTGGACTTTTTGCAGCTTTTCCAGTTTAGGCTGGTGAGCATGGGAAGGAGCAGGAGAAGGAGGGAAGGGGTGCTACATTTACAGCAAGACAGCCCATGTGCGACAAGGATGGCAGGGAATAAAACAGAAGTCCTGGTCCATGCCCAGTTCCCCGTGTGGCAGAGCACTTGAATCCCCGCAGCCTGCGGTTCCCAAGGCATCCAAATCTGATGTGCACTCAGCAAAGCAACCACAGACACTGGCTCCTTACACTAACCCAGTCCCACTCAGAAGGGGACTCGGTCCATATGTCTTCTCAGCCACGTAAACTCAGATAGCTGATCCAAGGCAGCCACTGTGGCTCCCTGGAGAAAGCCTGTCAGGGGGTTATTAGCTCATCTGTTTTAGAGCTCTTGGAATGGTACCACTGCTCTCTGTGACTGCCTACACCTCTCCTGGCTGTTTGTTCACCCCATTTACTAAGAATAAATTCCTTTAAATGAAACTTGGCAAAATACAGAGAGCACTTTGAATCCACCTAGCTGTTCGAAGTAGATTGAGGGCAAATTTAGCCCATCAACCCACAACATGACAATCATTGCTTGGCAGGGAAACCCTCTGCTCCTTCCTGCCGTGCCAGCCCTTGCAGGGAGTCTGGGAGGTGACAGGGGCTCCCCAGCACTGAGTCAGGGGTTTCTGGAGCTGGAAACCCAAATAAACAGCACAGATTGAAGGAAACCAGGCTGTATTAATCTATCCTGGGGTCTCAGCTATCCCTAAAGCAGCAGTCTGTACAGTCAGCCACAGCCTGCCTGCATGTTTGCATATATAAAACCCAAATGAAATGTTGACAGAAGAGATGAGTTTCATGCACTAATTCAAGAAGCAGCCTGGGTGAAGGGATGTCAAATTAAAGTGACTCCTTCTTCCACCTCCCCACTTTACCCAGCTCCCTCATTCCAGCAGCAAACTGGAGCACAGCCAGTCTCCAGTCTCCCACACAGGGTGGGGTGTGCAGGAGCCAGGGTGATATGTGGACCCTTGCTCCCAGCCAGACACAGCCAAAATGCAAAACCTCCATCCCCTCTGTACACTTGCTTTGCGTGAGTGAGGAGCTGGTGTGAGTGCCAGATAAGAGCTGAAAAACAAGCAGGTCAGTGTTATGGTGAGGGTCAGTGCTATTTCGATGGCTGCAAGATGCTCTAATTATAGTGTTGGGAAGGCTGGAAGCTGCCAGATTTGATACAGGAATAATGTGGCACAGGAGCTGCAGAGTAAAGACACTTGTTGTTTTGTTCTTGGTTGCTTAACTCAGAGACAAAGCCTCTGAGGAAGGAAAAGCAACTTTAAGGTTATAATTGAGTCCCAGGAATTCTGAACATATATATAATTAGACATAGAAAAAAAAAAATTCAAGGCAGCTTGTGTTTATTGCACTGGCTCCGTCTCCTGTGCTTTTGGCACTGTGGTTTTTCAGCTGAGCTTCAGCCAGTTGACTGAGCTGTTAAATATCCTTCACTAGGATGAACAGCTGAGGAAGCCCTGCAGCTCAGTCCAGCACGGTGCCTTGGTGGGTGTTGCTTTTCAGGAGGGTTCCAGCAAGTACATGGCTTTATATATATTGTGATATTCCTCTCTGCTACCTGCTCCATACTCTGCTCTGCCTCACTGCAAAACTTTTACAGGGTTGCTCTTTGGTGTTACAGGATTTATAGCAGCATAGCCCACAGTTTTTATGCTCTGATTATTCTTGGCATGTTCTCCCTGGATAGTTGTGAGCTTCACAGCCTGCAGGAGCCTTTGGTTGAAGCATCTCAGAGCAGTCACCTGCCCCTGGTAGCAGGGGATTTTGTAGGAGGTGGTATGAGTAATCGGTTGACCCCAGAAGTCAGGTCTGCTGTTGGCTTGCTGAGTGGCCTTGGGTGAGTCACTTTGCAGCCCGGTGCCTCAGTTTCCCTTTCTGACAGATGGAAAAAGCAGCACAGAGTAGTTGGGTAAAATACTCTTGGAGACTTTGATGAACAGCAATCAGAAATAGGAAAAGGGTTCCTCAATATCACTAATGATCCTCCTCCTGGGACTGCTGCCCACTCCTTGCCTGCACCAGCTTTCCCCAAGCCTTACTGCTCTGGGGTCTCCCTAACAGCTTGAGGGATCCCCATGCCCCCATGACATACCTTCACCTCTCCTGTGCTCCAACAACCTCTCCTCCAATGATCTTTTTTTGGAAGTTCAGTGGAGCATGTTACCTTCACTTTTTTCCTTCCCCCCCCGAGATTCCTACCCATAAATACTACCTGCTGTTTTCAGCTCAGGCAGCCTGGCACGCTCTCTCCCTACCTCGCTGGTTGCCCACTGCCGTGGTCAGGGCACTGCCTGCAGGAGCAGGGTAGCCCTAAGACCATCGATACCAGAGGGCTGCCTAGACCATCGGCTCATCAAGTGTCAGATCAACTAGGGACTTTGCCCAGTTAATTCCACCTAGGAGAGAGGGTGTTTGTAGTTATGCAAACATTTACACCAGGCACTGCTTTTTTTTTTTTTTTAAATCTGAGCAATAGGAAAGAGCTGGGAACCAGTATTTGGTGTAATGTTAAAGCACTGGAGAAACACTGAGGGCATGTTTTGATCTGTTTACTTCACTATTTTTTTACTATTCCTCAAGCTGGGATCAATCACCTAAAATCAGAGACACAGTAGCAAATATACTGTAAATACAGCTAAAATCAAATACACTGATACCCTTTAATTTTATCCAAGACTGGGTTTAGTCAAATCCAGGCCAAATTTATCCCAGATGTATCTCCAATAACAGCAGTAAACATTGCACTAGAGAGGAACTCAGTCCATTTTCTCTTCCTTACTGACAAAAGATTTATGGAACTGCAAAACTGCTGATGCAAGCACAAGTTCAAGAGAGGGTGAAAATCCACAGCAATCCTGGTGGTCATCACAGCTATTCTGCTTTGTTCCACTCTATTTACAAATTATCAAACATATTGACCACAGCTTCATGTTTTGAAATCAAGAAGACAAAGAATCCATTTTTATTACTTTATTAACCTTTTTTATTTAACCTGGTAATAAAACTACTCAACTGCGTGGTGAAATCTCAATTAAAATTTGCCTTAGCTCCAGGAGACATACAGGCAAATGCTCCAGTAGTTCTCTAAGTTGGTTTCCCAGTAAAAGCTTTGCTCTGTTATCAGATTCTGTTATGCGGTACATAGATCCCTGCTTTACAGCCAGCATCATTTCAGGAGGTAGTTTGAAAGCTTTCAGGCTCTTCTGATGATTGCTTCGCTTTTCTTTCACAGCAATTACAGTCCCTTCATTTAATTTCAATGGAAACTTTAGTGTTTTAGACCTTGCCCATGTAGCTGAATGCTCATCTCTGGATCTTATTTCCAGTGCTCAGGAGGACCGGTTTTGATGACCTAGTCTGATTACAGCATCTTTGACAGCTTTAAAGGAATTTGCTCAGGGGAAGGAGACAGCTGCTGCTCTTCTGATGAACAATTTTTTTGAGCAGGCCTCCCAAGCTAGACATGTGAGTATGAGATGCTGCCTACGTTTTTCATCATGACCCACAGGTATGTCTAAAAAGGTTTTGTGTTCTTGCCTGCATATGCTGGTGTGGAAAGAGCCTCTATCATAAATCTGCTTAACCTGCTTCTGTAAAAATGTTGTGGCTTCTTGGCTTCTTTTCCCTTATGTTGTATATTCAACCTCTCTGGAAACTGTGGGCCAGATCTCTAGTCTGGTGTAATCTGGCATAGCTCCTTCAGTTTATACAGACTCAGAGCAGGAACAGACTCTTTACCAGTATCTGTAGCTTTTATACAGCCCTAGTCTGAAACAAGACTTATGAAAATGAAGATATTATTTATGATCAATAGTAACCATTACTAGGAGCTGCAATAAAATCTCTTAGAATTTTAGAATTCAATCAGTATAAAAGCAATATGACAACTTGTTCCTCTAGAGACTGTTTTGCAACTAATGTTGAAAACAAGGTAGACAACATTTCAGATCTCAAACAACCCACTTTACCTCCAGAAAGGAGGTCTGACCTGCTTAACATTGTGTGGATCGGGAAAGCTCTATGTTTCCTGCCTGATGACATTCCCAGACCCAGGAATTAAACTGCATTTTGTTCATCTAAAGCACCTAGAGTGAATGGGTCATTATTCAGACAGGAATGTTTTGCAATAAAAGTTTTTGACAAGTATCTGAATGTACGAAGTTCTATATATATCCATTATGGAGATACTACTTTACTTTTGGGGGAGCAAATAAAGATTTCAGACAGGAGGGGTTTGGTTGCACATGCCTAGGGCCAGAGCTACTACTGCATGGGCTGTTGGGCATAGCCAAGATTTGGAGGAGTTCATTCCCAAGACATCTCCAGCCTGGGTTTTGTAAAAGAGACTCCTGTGTAAACAGTTGGCTCAAAGGACTGAGAGCTGGTTGATACATTGGAGCACTAGTTCTCCTCTCTAGAGCCAGCCCAATTTCACTACTACAGCTGCCCCAACATCCAACTCTGAACTGGCAAGTAAAGGTGACAACTATCAGCGCCACCTGCTCCAAATTCTCCTTCTTTTTTCTCCTCTATATTGCCTGCTTATATTGCATATACCCAGAAGGAAAGAAAAAAAAAAAAAAAAAAAAAAAAAAAAAAAAAAAAAAAAAAAAAAAAAAGTAGTGCCATTTTGCTGTTTTACAGGTTTTTGATTTCTGTTTGGTAAAGGCAAAGGTGACCTTTCTGATATAGCAATGGGGAGCACAGAACAGTGTATCTTGGCCATGCAAACCCACCAAAACCCACCAGCCTTGGTTAGTCTGGTACTTACATGGTCTCCTTCTCCAACACTGTTGCTGGTTCACACCAGATCCTCCTGAAAGCCATGACAGAGTGGTGGCTCCAGGAGGCACCTTCCTATGGGTTAGTTTGAGGAAATCCTCTCCTCTTCTAATCTCTCATGAGTTTTTTTGTATGTGCCTTAGCTGGGGGACATGTTTTGCATCCAAGGAAAATTTGCAGGCTTCAAGAAAGCATCTTTCTTGATATACCCATGTATCTGAAATAGGAGAGGCACCTGCACCAGCCATCACTCTCTGGTACAGGCTGCAGCCAGGTCTGCAGCGTTTGCTGCCACCATGACAAATGGCAGGTAAAGTCACCAGCACAGCTCAGAGGAACCCGGGCTGGAGGAGCAGGTGAGGAGCCCGCTGGCTACTGGGCTTAGAAATGGGAACTAGGTCTCATTGTGCGGAGATGGGTGGATGTGAGGAAAATTCATTTAAAGAGAAGGAAGTGTGAAGCAGACATATACTTTCTTCACGCGTGTACTGAAAGAAGAGCAAAATATTCAGAAGATTATGCTGCATCAGGAGTGCCAAAGTGCTGGAAATTCACTAGTTGTAATAAGCTAGTGATTGTAGATCAGGCAGTGGGAATGTGACAGATGAAATTATTTGGTCTTTTGGCAAATGCCAGTAGAGCTATAGCTCAGGAGAGAAGAGTGCCAACCTTACAGTCAGATTGTTTTGGGATCAACAGTACTTTGCCCCAGTCTTTTTGTGTTTCATATTACTTCACTTAACCAAAGAGCAAATGCCATTACACATCCACTAACAAATTTCCATTCACAGCAATATACTTTCAGGGGTGTAAGCAGAAAGGCAGCTTGACCCAAAGTGACCTAACAGAGATAAGTTTTGCTCATTTAATGGAGATCTCTCAGTCCTATAGATGTGAGTAGCAAAGGTAGAAATCCTGCCTGGGTTCCACATACAGAACTCTACACTGGAGTCAGTGCTCCCTGATTGTGGAGCAGGGAACAACCAGGTGTCCTTTTACTTTATGTTAGAAATTTTGCACAAAAGACTTGTAAAGAAAATATGTCAGTCAAAGAGAAGACGACTTTTTGTGAAGAAGTCTTATAGCATCCCTTGCTAATAACTTTTTGATTTAGACTGTCAGATATGTCCATCAGAGACAAATGTCCATTTCCCAGCTCTGGCACTATCCATGTAGCAAGTGACAAAGCTTGCCGAAACCAGGAGTATCAGGAAAAGATGTTTCAGTTCTACAGTCTCAGAGGAGTCACAGAAGCAGGAGAGGTCATCGTTCTTCTGGGAAAGGGGAGTGATGGCATCACCCTTCCATCATCTTCACTTTAGAGTGGGAAAGAGACTCTGGCCCAGTATGCCCAAGAGGGATCTAACTTTTTCCAGCTCTCCAATACACAGGAAGAAATACTAACTAGGTAGAGAGAAAAAGAATACTCCAGTCTCAATACTTCTCCCAGAAATTCTTGCTAGAGTGGATATAATGTAAGAAAGAGAGAATGAAAGACACTGAACCAGTTCTCTGTACCCAGAGGTTTTGCCTCTGTCAGGGAACAGCCGCATAGCCAGAATCATATGATAGACTAAGAGTTCAGTTTCAGTTCTCCTCTCTTCAGACGCTATTAATTCACCATCTCCATAGCTGTCCTGTGAAGCTTATTCCTTGCCTTTGCATTTGTCTAGCTTTAAAGGAAAAAGGTAATGTAATTCCCATTGTTTCATTGAGGAGACTGATTGAAAGGCTCATACATTTGAGATGATGAAAAATATGCAGATTAAAACACTCCACATCAGAAAAAGCCCATTTGTGGAAGCAGAGATGATTCTGACCAATATATTAATTTAAGCTGAGAGATTTCCTGGTCCCAGACCAAATTTCTGACAAGAATGAAAGAGTGAGAAGGGGGAGAAAAGAAAGGGCTGTAACTGTTACAAGGCAGCTACTAACAAGCTGCTTCCTAGGGACACCACATTTTAAGGATCTGATCCAAACCTGCCAGGGATCAGAGCTGGACCCTGGTTCCACACTTCGGTAATAGCCCATCCTGCTCTCAGATACCCATTGTAAGACACAAATAGTCTCAGTGTGAGCAGGACCCTCCAACACTCCTGCAGGCATGCCAAAGGATGTTCTGCTTTGGGACAAAAACACAGCTTAAATCTTCACCTTGCCTGTGCAAAATGTAACTGGCTTTCAGCCTGACTTATCTGTATATTCTGATGTCCACAAGCATTCTTTGATGTGCTGCCTGAATTTTCCCTTACTTAGTTTCCCCACCTCAGCTTAAATTGAGATGCAATTAATATGGGCTCCAGAAGCACTTGGCCAGTTTTGAAAATTGTACCAATTATTCTTTGTTAAACCTACTTGTTTTAGTCTGAAACATCAGCCTCCTGGGTTTGGAGAGGTGGAGGAGAGAGCCTTACATACTAATTACAAGAAATTAAATCCAGAACAAATATCAGCATGAATAGACTTAACATTAATATAAAGTGGCTGCCAATGACAGAGGGATTTACCACTTGCTTTTTATATCCTTTATCATCCAATATCCATCCAAACTCTTTCCAGTTCATGCATATTTTACTCATTTGGGCTTCTCTTATGCTTCGATCTGCTCTTTTCTCCATTTTTCTGTTCTTCTTTCATGTCATTAATCTAATCCCCTTCAAAGGTGACACTGCAAATGGAGCTCAAGAGCATTTACATCAGTGCCTTCAAATCATCTTATGTAGTGATGCCTGCATCTAGGTGCTTTATGATTCCCTTGGCTTCTTCCCATTGCTGTCAGTCCCGCTTGCTGCCCCTCTCAGGACCAGTTTGGCATTAATGGCTACCAGGTTTCTAAAATCCATTAAGGACAGACAGTGGCTCGCAGAAGTCAACAAGAGCCTTTTGATATCTGGGATTTAGACAAGACTGCTAATCCCTTTTTAGGCTATACCCTGCAGTCATCCTAGCCTGAATTCTCCTCAGGCCAGTTCTTACCAGGGAAAATGGGGAATTGTTACAGAAAGCCGCAATCAACACAACAGAGAGCAGAAATCGATTACCACTAAAACAGAACTCTGAAGATAATTCTGCTTTAGCTCTTTCTAAGGGGTTTTATTTTCACGCCTTTTTTTGCCTCTGTTTCTGTTTTATGCCAGCTCAGCCATCCTCCTGCTGGCAGTGGATTCACCCTTCTCATTCATCTCATGGCTGGTGGCAGCCCTGCCATCATGAGCAGCCCAGATGCTTTAAGCAGAGGTTCAGTTCCACTCCTCTTTGTTCCTAAAATACCATGAGTGTGTGATAAAAGCTGACTCAGAATGACCTCACTCACTCCAACCCCATCCATCCCCTGCACCCCACGTCCACAGGACTGGCTGATGCAGAATCAGTGAGCCAACAGCAGGTATTAGCATTTGGTTACTTGGTAACTCTCATTCGATCAATACATGCTTTACATTTAGATCCCAGTGGCAGGATGAACAGATCAAATTAGAAAGCCTCAGGTGGAATAAACCTAATGGCTTATGGGACATTTCCAAAATAAAAATGCATGTTGAATCACAAACAATAGCTTGGATGTAATCTCAGGAGTCTAATTATGAAATGGATGTGGAATCATTCTGTAATTAATTAAGTTCATTTCAGCAGCCAGAAATTCTCTCCATGTTTACTATGTATCATCACAAGTACTCTGTGGTCATTTGTAACATCTACCCAGAAAGACATATGAATAGGAGAGGCAATATTAAGAAATGGAGACAGATCCATGCCTTTTATAAGTCACTGGATTCATGCCAGCGATGAATTGAGACCAGGTTCCTCAACAGAGTTAAATCATTTCCAGCCAGTCCCAACAGAGCAGAAATCACTGTGCCCCACAGGGGGGATATTCTCACCATAATGCAAAACCCTACTACACATCCTGCTCAGTGCTTGTGTCTTTGCCTTAGAAAAGAGCTCAGTTCAAAACCGGTACAAATCTCTGCACGCTGGGGATATGGAACTGGTGCCACAGCTTTAGGAAGACGATTGTCACTCAGAAGGACCTGCTTACATCCACAAATAAAGCCAGAGTTCTGCTTTCAGAAATGAATTCTGTTGTGCTGGATCACATGGCTGCATGGTGATACTACTACGCCTAATCTGTTTTTTCTAAAAGCCTGCAGTTCCTGCATGAATGGCCTCAGGTCTGCCTACCTGCATCAAAGGGGAGCTTATAGATCTGTGATCATGAAAACTTCCAGCACAGGGCAGTATTATCTAAAGGGCAAAAAGAAAGCCTCCCTGGGAGGATAACCTTGTGGGCCCTTCATGGAGCACCCCAGGGACTGACTATGTTGCGCTTTGCACTGACCACACTACTCTTCCTTGGGGACAAATGCACATGAGTACACAGATCTCTGGGCATCACAAGAATTAAATATACAGCAATGAGAACCGATTGCTTTCAGCCTAGCTGGCCCCACACACCAAATGTTATCAGACTATCTTCCCATTCATTACTCTGTCTCCATTATTCTTTGTGTTGATCTTTTTTTTTCCCCAACTCCAAAAAACACCTCCTTTTGAAGTGACCATCAGATGAGACATTAACAGTGACCCTTCTGGTCATGGAATATGCATGGAAAGGCACAGACCAAAGAGCTGATTTTTGTCTTGAGGTCAGGATTTATACAGTGCTTTCCTCTGTGGAAGGCCTGAGGAGCAGAAACAGTGCTGTACGACACCTCATGGGTGTCCCACACCTTCCAGGAGTAAATCTGTTTCTCCAGAGGCAGAAAAAGGAAGAAAGCATACAGATAATCATACTCTGGGGCAATTTGCCTTTTTATTTCCTGATGTATTCCCTGACTGGTGGAAAATCACTCTTGGCAAACACAAAACTTACCTTGCTGCCAAAAGGTGCATCTCTAAATTATTAATCAAGAGCACATAGAACCACGAAAGGTGGAATATTGAACAAAGGCTCAACTGACACTCTGGAAGTTGAAGAAGATATGGAAGACTCCCTTCTAATTTATTTATTCCTTTTCTGTTCTGTTATCCTGATATGCTGCTTCCAGTTACCACTGCACCCCGCACTGTATGGTATTACGTGATTTTGTTTTCAGATTGTTGGAGATAAAGTTGCTTCATTAATATATATGCACTGTGCATATCCATAAATATTGAATATATACGTGTGTGTAAACCTACTGGAAGTGTTAATAGTTAAGATAAACTAAGTCCATTATCACAATGAGTGACTATTTCTATGACCCTATTTGCAATAAAACCAGATTCAATGATATGAGAAAATTGCTAGGTTTCAAAATAATTGAACCAGGCCAGACGAATCCCCACAAAGGCATCATTTACAAAGTACTTTGCTTGTCTAGAATATTTATTCCTGCAGAAGGAAATGGAAAAAGAGTTCATATGGTTACACAGCTATCCTCTGAGTGTAAAATTGTTTTATCATGTTATGTTTATTTCCTAGACATCTTCCATTGGGCTACTGCAGGAAAACACTGGCTGTGCATTTAGTTCCTTTGTGTAGACTGTTCATATTTATTCACTGGGAAGTCAATCATGTTTTGTTCAGACTTGTTTTGGTTTTCTGCTGAGCAAACACTTAAGCAACCCTTTTCTTGTAAAAACTTATTTACATATGCAACGTGCACCGTCCAAAGTCGGCACTACACAGATAGTTGAGATGTCTTTGCTTTCCCTTTGCTTCCCATAGGAAGTAATGGTGTTCTTCCTGAAAACTGGCATTGCTCATTAAGCCTGCAGTATACTATTGTGTTTAAGGACTCCCTCAGTAATTACAGATATTTTTAGTTTGTCTTATATTGAAAGCCTGGATAGATTTTTACTATTAAATGTTCACAGCAAAATGCTTCCAAGCAATCTACAGACAAAGAATTACTCCCAGCAATTATCCACTGAATAAATCTGAATAATTAATATATTCACAAAAGTCACTATCTATTTGTGAACAATTAGCTGAAAGAAATAGAGGTGACACTCATCAGCTAAATAATTCATTTATGAATTCTTTGTCCAGCTTTGCTTCTGACATATTTTGCATGAAATGAGATCAAAGCTTAGATGAAAAATTACTTTTAAAAAGAAGGGCAATGTTAAAGGAAATTCTTCCAGCTTCTAAAGCAGAAATTATGCCCCGATTGTAACTATTATTTATTACCAGTGATTTCAGAGGCTAGTCAAGTTATTTTCCTGGAATCTTTCACTTCATGCATTAAACTGTGTTTTATTCCTAATGTATATCCAATTTTAGGTTGTTAAACTGCAATCAAAAGCACTTAGTAGGAATGGATCTGTCCCTGTTATGAGATTTGAACTCCTGACATCTATATCCACTGGAACTTGAGTGCCCAGGTAACTACTAATTATTCAAGCATTTACAACCATTACTATCAATATAATTAACATGTGGGATAAAAGTGAGAATGGTACTATGAAATGATCATTCCCAGCATTTGAATAGCAATCTTTCATGAAAACATTTATAAGCTGCCCAATTATTTTTCAGTCAAAGGAACAGAAAATTTGTTTATATTTAAGGGGAATCTAGAACTGAAAAGAAATGGTTTCTGGAATTGAAAGTGATAAATGTTGTCTCCGTATGTCCATTTGTTGAAAACAACCCCCTGAACTTTTCTGCAGGGTTTTTTTAAGGAAAATACTAAAAAGTTTCTGACCAATTGTTCTGAAAAATTAGAAAAATGTGAGACCTTTCTTGCAGTAAAGCCAGATTCAGTGAAAAAGACAGGAAAAAAGTTTTTCATTCAGGTCACTGCTGTTCTCTGCAGGAATAAGAAGATGCACAAGACCTTCTTATGTGCCTTACTGGATGACACTAATAAAATTAAATGAAACCATTCAGATGGAGAAAGTCAAAGCTAGATGAAACTAGAGTCTGACTTCCCTCTTCTCACCTCCATCAGTTTTGCTGGTCAACATAGGCAGGTAAATGCCTTCTTATATTAATTAGTAGCAAGTGCTTATCACAATAGGAGGAAGGAGGAACCAGAGAAGAAGCTAGGGACCATGGTTTGGAAGGTTTTGTCACCTTTCTGTCTGGGATCTGCTATGAGAAAAGTTTTGAAGAACTACTTTTCCCCCAGAAAAAGCTCAGCTTAGACATCCCAAAATAACTGCTGTGAAACACTTGCAGGACACACCAAAGAGGGGATTTTGAGAGCATTTCACAAGCCCTGCAGCTGTGAGCCGGTTGCAGCATGAGGAAAAGCCTTTCATCACCCCAATGTACAGGAAAGAGAAGGTAAGGTGACTCTCTCCAGGTGGCTTTTAGATATGGTGCATTCAGTGAAGAGCCCCAGAACAGCAAAATCTGTTCTTCTCCATGTTGGTGCTACTTTCACCACTGGAAAGGGAAGGGCTTGAGCAAAGCACCCCCTGCAAGCACTGCAGACCCATGCAGAGGCTGAGATGCAGGAGGGCAGCAAGGCTCAAGGGGGCTGCTGACCCCGCATCAACCATAGGTGCTTCCTCAGTGCTGGCCCAGTTTTCCCTGAGGAAGGATCCCAGTGCTTCCCATGTTCTCACCCACTCTCTAAATTCCTGAAAGGAAGAATTAAAACAGTAAAGCTCACAGAGCTGCTATGCCCTCTGGTTCCTAGTGCCAATGTAAACATCTTGCAACCCTCACTCCACTGGCTAGGTGCAAAACAGGGGCCAGTCTGAGCATGCCATGGGACAATCCATCCAACCACCTGGAAAATAACACAAAAGTGGAGTACTTTAGGCATGTCACAGCAAATAAATAACTTCGGGAAAAGAACAGCAAAAAAAGCTCAACCTTGTGCTTGTAGACACAGTAAACCACCATATTTCAGCAGTCATGGCAGGTATTTCTGACTGGAAACTGTATATTTGATGGTGACCAGCCTTCAGCATTTGACAAGGGGTTGTTAAAGCCTCTTGAGCAGTAAATCACCTCTTTTCCTATCAATAATCTTATTATAATATCTGTAGAAATGTCTAATATTAAAATCTCATTTTATTACTATAATAATGGATCTAATTTGTAAAACATATAAAGTGAGGCCATAACTGTACTGGAGGGAGATATATGTGATCCCACTACATCTATATCATTTCCTGATAGCTTTATTCACATATTTTGAATGGGAGAGGGATTAAAAGCAATCCCACTTGAAAGATTTTTCAGATTGGGAATGGCTTCTGGAAAGGAGAACATGGAAACGCAGCAATCATTTTGGAAAGAACATCTTTGACTTCATGTTTACGCATATAAATATGTAGGTGTTTATCTGTGATTTGCTCCATTCAGGTCCTTTCCAGTTGCCAGGAAAGCCCTGTTTTCCCACTGCACAATCAGTATTATCACTATGTGCTATTTTTGGCTACCGAGTACATTTCAAGTAACGTCATCCTTCCCAAGCCAACACTGGTATGAAGGGCGGAAACTCTTCTTTCCACTCCTCTGTCATTTGCTGCAGCTCCCATCTGCTCGGTGGCACTGCCTCCTCAGTCCTTGCTGCAGAGGGATATCCAGACGTTTTTCCCTGTCCTTCTCATTTTCTTGAGCAAGTGGCTTTCCAACTGAAGCTTCGTGTGGGAGGCTTCATGTTGGCATGCAGATTACATGTCCCAGATATGTCCAGCCCCACCTTCTGATCCTAGTACAGAGGAGCTGCCGGTAAGTAATCTCTTGGTGGGCGATAGAGTCCTTGTGTCCAATGCCTGGAGCTTTTAAAAATTGGATTGTTTTTAAGGGCATATAATTTCCCAACTAGCACTTTAGTAGGTTTCCAGCTCTTGTGACGGTATGTTAACACCAGGTTTGTGTCTGAGGGGAGAATGCATCATTTCTTCTGACACTGTGTATCTTTGATTTCCATAAGTTACTAAAGTCTAGTAAATATCGTGAATACCACTTCCTTTTTAAGGTCTTTCTTGGCTAGATGCTACCCAAACAGCTAGCTGTTTAATGTTTTTCTCTTCTGCTGTGATGTTGCTGTTAAGTATTTAAGTAAAAACTCATATGGACAAAAGCCGCACTTGAGTTATAAATCTCTTCAAATATAAGGTTCAGTTTCCTTGGCTGTGCCGTGGGATGAGCCCTTCTAGCTAAAGCTATAGCCACCTCTAGTCTGAGCTGAGCAGTGTCTCCCTAAACCGGTTTCATTTTACACAGAATAATTAAATATTCATTATGCCAGAAAGTGTGTGTGTGTGTGTGTGTGTCTATAACAGAATGATTAGGGCACTCACCTGGTAGATGAGTGACCCTGTTCCCAGTGACTGCTCCAATTAATATTTAAGCATTTCATATTAAGTATTCATTGGAGCAAGGATAGGAGCAGACTTCTCCCACCCCCAAGGGAGCACCCAAACACCAGGTTGTAAAGTCATTCTTTCATTCTTTCTTTAGCTCAATGAATATTTAATTACTCAAGGCCAAACAACACAGCTTCAGTGGCAGAGACTGAGATTCCCTGCTCCCATGTGTGCACCATAGCTCTGATGATGAGGGCATGCATATAAGAGATGTGGGTTCATATTCCTTTGGACTTAGGAAGAAGTTGAATCCAGGTTTTCCATACCCTGGATGGGTCTTCCAGCTTCTGAACGGCTCAATATAAAACACAGATCTTGAACATAAGCTGTCCCCAGTCATGAGACAGAGGTGATATGGATGCTTGTATGACCTCAAGATCAGACAAAGCGTCCTTATCAGTGATAAGTTAAACTGAAATCTGGTTTATAAATCCCTCAGGAGAAGATATCAAAGCTGAAGACATTCCTCACAGCATGGTAGTTCCTGCTGACTGTGTTACGTGCCTTTCTGAAATTATTCAGAGTGTGATGCATAAGGAAAGCCTATTTATCCTCTGTACTCTGGGGTCTGACACCCCCAGACTGTAGTTAATGGGACTTAATCCTGCTTCTGCAATCCAAAGAGTGGGTGTGTGAAATGGTGAGTGTGGGGAAAGCATCCAAAGAGAAAAGGTGTAGGGCAGGGTATTTGAGGCTAAAAATTGGCAAAAGTAACAGGCATTGAGTAGAAAGATTAAAGCAGGAAGAAAAGCATGGAGGAAGGACCGTGCAATTATTGAGTGAGGAAAGGACACACAAAAGAAAAAAAGGAGCAGGGACAGTGACCAGAAGAAGCAAACAAACCATCTAAGAAATAATATCCTTTACCCAGAGAGGAACAAAGGGAAGGGAGACAAAGGGATAGGGAAGATTACTTCGATCTTAAAGTAAAAATAAAATGTGGAGACTCTCTGCCACCCACTTAGGTCTTTGAAAGTAGAAAATTTGCCATCTGGTCTCCACTTCCAGAGGACAGTGGGTGTCTCTGAACTGAGATGCTTTGGATTCACTTTGAGGAGTTGACTGTGGGAGCATTCCTAGGCAGAAGTACCTATTGCTATTATTGCATCTCTGTTTCTTGTCATTTGGCAGAATCCATAGCAATCTGAGTCCGTTATCAAAGGCTGAGTGTGGCTTCCAAACAAAAACCAGAGCAACAACATAATAGTGATATTGAAATGCAAACAAATTACCTTCTCATAGCCATCAGGATAGTGTCCAAACCCAAGACTACTGCACAGTCTCAGCTGTTGAAATGGCAACACTGCATTCAGAATGGAGATCTTGGCTCAGAACATTTCAAAGGTGCTCCCAATGATATGGTTCATGTATTTCATATCACATTTATGTCTGTCTACCCCAGGGCTGTTAAGCAGCCACCCTCAGTAACTTCTCACTCCAATTTAGAGAAATCCTTTCTAACACTTTGTGATCCATTACTTTAACCAAAACTTTCCCTGAGAAGACAACTTTAGAGTACTGAAGATCTATGTAAATGGAGGAATATCCACATTGTGTTGCTATAAATATTACAGTGGTCTGACCATAAATGTCAAAACAGGTGTCTTTTGTATCATGTCCTTCGAGGGACATAATAACCTAGCCACAAAAGCTCAAAGATTCACCCAATGCATAACTCCAGCTTGAATGGCCATGTGTTTTGTGTTTTGATCAACTCTTTAGACAGGTGACAGTAGCTATCCTCCTTCAATACTGAGGAAAAGGCCACCTGTGGACCAAGCTGTGGGGGAAAAGCGGAAAGCAGAGAGAAGGGTTCGATTTCGTGAGCCAGAAGTCACTGAACATGGTACGCTCAAGCTATTAAGACTTTTGCCATTACCTTTCTAGCTTTAAGCATCCACCCTGTCTGTCCACATCAGTTTCCCCCTCTGATAATGTTATTTGTGTGTTTGAGCTCAGCATGGAATTCTGTGCTCTGCAGAATTGCGTCTGGTCCGTTTGCCTGCCTGCCTTGGGAGAATTCTGTGATTCTGTGAAGACAGGTTCCTGCATCCCATTAGAGCAGCCTCAGGGCTGTTCTCATGGTGAACTCCTGAGTCAGCCCCCACGGGGATCTATGTACATCATGGGTTTGGCCCCAGGCCTACCCCAAAACAATGCTTCCACTCATAGAAAAGGGTCTCAGACCAAATTTAAACAGGCTTATGTCATTCTGAGTAACTAGGACGTAATGGTTGGGAGGGAGCCAACCCTTTCATGTTTCTGAGCAGCATGCATGCCACGAGAGACAATAGTAAAGGTCTGAGCCTAGCTGGCCCACTGGGGTTAAAAGCAGCTGGATGTGGCCATTTCTGCCAGTGAATGATACAGCTAACATAACCTCTAGCCTTTCATTCATGAACTTAAAATAACAGTTTGCAGGTAGGTCAACTGGGAGTGACCTTAAGCAGAGGTCTAGCACAAAGCTCCAGTTTGCACTTCTGCATATGCTATAAACAGTTCACAGCCAGAGAAGAACTGTTGTTTCATTCTGACTTTTGAAAACTGACTCAGCTAAAAATAATTGTATTCATTGGTAGGGAATTAAAATTGGATGGTTTAGATACATCAGTCAGTACAAACACAGGTGACAGAATAGTAGCATTTCTATGTCAGCCACCTGTTTGGACTGCTACTCAGCTTCTCAAAACCAGGCTTGGCATCTGCTGATGTGTCTATAAACAGACCTCATTGGTTTTGCAATATGTTGCTTGTGGCACCTCCTAAAGCAGGATGGACAAGCTGTTTCTTGATAAGGTTGTTGACATGTCCTGGGCTTTCCCATCACAACTGAACTCCTGGGAAGATTCAGTGAGTCAGCCCAAAGTTCTTCAAAGTGCATCTGACTGCTCAAGAGCAGGATTTTGATGAGAGCTGATACCTCCTTCAGCTCCCTGCCAGAGTCCGTGTCCCACATCAGTGCTGGTAATCCTGCAGGCAGTCCAGCCCAGGAGACCAGGTTCATCTCCCACTGGCTCTGGATTCAGCACAGCCATGCTTGAGCTCCAGGGAGCTGCAAGGATGGAGAAGACTCTGACTCTTTTCCATGAAGACATGAAAAACGTCCCAACCCATAATTAGTATTCTGTGTTGCAAACAGTCTGTGATTTAATGATTTGCTGTTTGTCCAGACAACATTATTAACATAGAGGCTGGTAAGATGAAGGTTGTTGGCACCACCGAAATTTTTCCATTCTCTGGACTTTTCATCTTGGATTGTTTCTGGGCCCCAGCTGCCAAGCAAAGGCAGTTCCAGGATATTGTTGGATGAAAGTTGTATTTGACAGTGGGCTTTTCTTTCTTAACTTTCATTCTTCTCTCAGCCTGCTGGTCTATCTCCTTTCCATTTCTAGAAATGTTAATAGAGGGAGTAATAAATAAAAAACAGAATAGGGAGGTCTTTTTTTGCAAAAGCTGACTACTGACCTCCCTGCAACAGCAGCAATCTGTCTCTGAACTCCCCCCATACAATAATTTTTTCTCACTTCCCTGAAGTGCATCTACATCTGCATGTTTGCATGGAGTGGGTAGGTCCTCATCTGACATAAATCTGTACAGCCAAAAGCAGTGTAAGAGGTGGCTCAGCAACTATAAGGTGACAGGCAATTTCAGAGACCCCGCTTGGTGCTTGCTTTCTTATTCATCTGCTGCAGAGGCTTTTCCAGGCATGTAAGAACATTTTCATTCTGTTTTCTAGCCATTTCCTGCTGTGACTACGTAGTGGGTAAGTTGAATTTTCACATTATAACTGTGAGCCATCCAATGGCACTAACCTGGGTTTGCTTTGTGGCTGCTGGGATGCACTGTGCAAATATATCTTCCGTGTACGATGCATTTTGGACTGTCAGTAGTTGTTGTTTTTTCTTCTCAGCATATGAAGCACAAGGTGTTGATGAGGCCTGGTGCAGTATTTTAAACAAGACATCTAGTAAGACAAATAGTGGAAACAAAAATGAAATCCCTGAAGCTATTTTTAATTTAAATATAATTAATATATTTTATGGCAATAGAATAGGCACAGGTTTTTCGCTAAGATATGCAGGGAAAGCACCCCAAGCGAAACAATAGTTCTCCCCGCTGACTTTCATGTGTGGGGAAAAGACCATTTATATGCTGGCAGCGGGGCAGAAATAATAAAAATAATCTGGTTTTGCTTTCTTCATTTGCAAGGATGTTTGAGGCCAGGCAGCCCTACAGACCCTCGAGCAAATGTATGTATCTGGATGTTCTTATGATGGGGACCATTTCTAGAGGTCCTGGCCAACATCCAGCCCCTGGTGTATACAAGACAGTAAGGGGAGAGGGATACATATATACATGTATGTATGCACACACACGGAACCATAGTTTTGAGAGGCCAAATGCCTCCCAAACAAATGTCCATATATCTCCTAGCTCTTCCTATTGCCCAGGAAGAGGGGTTGTATGCTCATGCATATGGCAGCATCAGCTAAAGCAATTATAGTGCTAGGAACAAGGTAGTCTAGGCAGGAAAGAGCCAGGGGGAAAAGGAAAGGCCAAATATCCCTCAGCTGGCAGTGGAAGTGTGTGTCCAAGGCAGGAACTGAACCAAAATCTCCTGTATCCCAGGCCAGTGTTTTTCTCAGATAAACTCACGTTTTCTTAGACCGGGCGCACGGCTAGGGCTAAGTGTGCTGTTCCAACAAGCAAACTAACAAATTTAAGCATTCATTTTCTATTTGTGATCTAGAAAAGAGCAAACATACATTTAAGCACAGAATTGTAGTGATATGCTGAACCTGTTGTGAGCATAGCTCATTACTATTTTGTGGGTGGGATTATTCTTCCACATTTTTTTTTTTCTGTTCCTGGACAGAACATACTCCCTAACTGAAAGGCTATAAGGAAAAGTAAAAGCTAAGCTTGCATTCGAGATCACCCAGAAATTTCAGATGAAAGTAACTTTCATAAGACTGAAAAAGGTTATAAGCACTTCATAGAAAAGAGCTGATGTGAAAAACAGTTTAGCTTTCACAGAAAAGATTCACTGTTACCAGTTATGCTCATCAGCCAGGCCCCATGCTTTGAAAGGCAGGTAGTCACCCAGCTGAGAACTGTGTCATGTGGTGTGGGAGATCACACAAGGGAAATACCAACTTCCAAATCACAAATCACTGCAAAAGCAGAAAGTGGTGAGTAATTCCCTGGCTAAATACCTTCATATAAACCATTCATACAATAATGCCAAATAAACAAATTTATAAAATGGAAGTCTGCTCATGGGTAATTTACAAACAGAAGGACTAAATTCAAATGAATAAATTATTTGCTGCAAATAATTCACTCAGATCTATTATGGGACATTGATTTGGTTTCTGGTTAGCTATAAAATGACTGCCTATTAACATTTTAGCTTTTCCCCATACACTTTTTGATACATTATTATGTGTTTCTTGCTTGGTTTTATGACTTTTACCTTCCTCTCTGTACATCTGTATGACAGTTTAATTGACTGGTGTGTATTCCAGGACTCGTAGTAGAAGCTAATTTAAATATGTTACAGCTAATGTTGGCCCTTTACCCATAATAATACACACCACATTTTTATCTCCTTATTGATTATGTGCATATGGCAGGAAAATAGCTGCACACTACGAGCTTTTATTCAGGCATGAATTTGGTTTTATACTGCATGTTTAATAGGCAAAGTGCTTTATAAAATAATATCAATTGTGCAATGGCCATGCAGCCAAACAGAGCAGCCAGATCTGAACCACACTGGATCCCCAAGGCCCACGGATGGCTACACATGTGCAAGGGCTGGGGAATCGATGTCAGCAAGCTAAATGTAGCCCGTTGATTTCCACATGTGTACTGTGCCCAACCTATGACACTTTAAACATACTTGAACTTTATTTTAAAGGCAAGAAAAATGTTTGCAGTCTCCCTCTGCTTAGAAGCAAGTGCAAAGGATGTTTGAGTGTAATTAGCACACCTAGCACTTAAAGGGAGGTTAAACCTGTCGGGGCTTTCTAAATATGCCTCTTGGTTAACTGAGCCATGTTTTGGCTTTTACTGTAATTAACAGGAGCCCAAAACAACCTGAATTACCGGGGAAGAGGACAGAAACGTAGATCTTCTCTCTTTTATGGAACGTTTGAGTATTAAATGATTAGATGAGGTAGCTTAATATTCTCCTAGTATTTAACTTAACATTTAGTGTAAAAGTATAAAAAATAATTGCTGGAGGAAAACTTGAGATCATGCATTAGCTATGGTAATCCTGTTCTTCTTGTATATAATTAAACTCTTTAAATGCTCCATTAGATGAGATATTTTATACTCACCACTCTCCATAAGGAGGTGTGACTCACTATCACTTAACTGATGCCTACAGAAGTACTCACAACCGGAGCTCTGTGTACCCTGCTGTTCTCAGAAAGGTGGGACAAAGGCATCAGCAGGGGATCAAATTTGGGAAGTGTTTGAGATGACACTAAAATAATGCTGCTTTCTTTTTTCTCCTCATCACCATTCAGTAGATGACAGGTCATCATCTGGATTGCCTGTGCTCCTGTGGCTCTCATTTTGTGCAGTGCTGATCCTAGCTGTGAGTCTCTACTACACCAGCATGAAGCAAGATGTCAAAGTCCTGGAGGAATTTCAATCCCGACTTGTTATCTTCTTTCTTCAGATAAGACATGTTGCTCAGAAATGCTGGACTTGGTTTATGAGGCAGTAGCAATGCCGACCAGCCTGACAGACATCTCAGAGCACTGCTAACCAGCACATGGCAGAGCAGAGCTCCCTCCACTCCAGTCACATGCAGGGAACACATGAACATCCACCTCGAAGAGCAAGAAAACCACCCCTGTTATGCACTGTCCAGCAGCCACTTGTTCTCCTTTTTTTTTTCTTTGCTGTTTTTCACATTAGTGAGTGGTCATACTAGCACTCTGAGGTCCCACCAAACTCATGCTCCATCATTCTAAACAGACAGCAAAAAAGTATTTGAATTTTGTCCCCCAAAGAGCTTATAAACTGATATGTGGAGCAGAAGTAGAGAGATAAATACATTGATCTGTGCAGGCAGCAGCAAGCTCTGAAGAAAAGTCTCCTGAGTCTTGGGTCAAGGCTTTAAATACTAAATCATCTTTCTCCTCAAGTTTCCTAAGAGCTATTCTGCAAAAGTTAAAGTAAAGCTGGGCTATTGCACAAACACTGCCCTGGTGGCCAAAGGCTTGGCAAGCTGCTATATGTATACACCTGAAATTATTATTAGTAGTATCTCAGCAAATGGCTTTCTTGTTTGCCTTCATGCGTTTTTTTTCTTCCATGGGCAAAAGCTGTTTCTTAATGTTTCACTTGATTCCCAGGTGTGGAAAAGAACATGAAAACTCATTTAAACTGTAAGTAGTTTATTTGTCTAACATAACAAATAACAGCATTGAATCCCAGGCTAATTATCAAATCAGTAGTTTAATCCTCTGGGTTTGATTCAGTCCGTAAACCCCAGGAGCTGAGCTTACAAGATTTATGATAATGTTTGTATTCAGTCGAGATTATGCTTTTATGCCTGGCTGTTTAAGGCCTTATATAATGGTAATATGGACTGTTTACAAAGGCATGGGAGACTAAGTCCCTTTATCCCTCATTTGCCCCACCACAGTATGCACCTTTCTGAAGGGAAACCTTTTAACGGACACCATGCAATAAATACTGTATGGTGCTCTGGGTGTCTGAGAGGAGAACAAGTGAGTACAAGCCTATGAGCTTCAGCTATGTTTTCTTCCTAGACCAAGCCAGCACAACCAGCTTTTTTAGGCCTTAGATTCTTGTCAGATAGCACCTGATGTGTGCTTGGGTTTATTTGGTATGATAAGATTGATATCACAACCTGTAAGAGCTGGAGAAAATGAAAAAGAAGAAAAAGAAGAAAAAAAAAAAAAAAAGAAAAAAGAAAGAAAGAAAACACTGCAGAGAAGACGGAATATATTCCTGCAAGACCTTGACTTGAATTCCCCTGCCATTGCAACCCACCAAAAAGAAAAACGGTGCTTTAATTGATTTTTTTAAAAAAAACAGGGCCATACATCTCTGCTCCAACAACTTTATTCCAAACAGCTCAAGGACTTCAACCAGGCAGAGGATAAAAAGAAACACAATATGCAGCCTTGTCTCAAGAGTGGGCAGCAACTTGATTGAGAACGAGTCAAAAAAATTGCAGTACAAGACAGAACGAAGTGACTTCAGTGGCTGTTTTCATGCTCCTCCTAAGATGTCAAAGGCCACAGCAATTGCATTCAACACACTGCCACTCCGGGAAGAGGAAGTTGCTTCAGGAGGAGTGTTTAGCTCAGGGGGTCTTTGTGCAAACTGCTTGGGTACCCCAGCTCAGAGGGTAAGTTTCACCACTGCTTCCCTTCCCTCTCCCCCATCTCAGCCCTGCTCTTTAGGTAATAAAGAAGAAAGGCTTTAAATTTGTGTGCTGATGAATCTCTGATGAAAATGTTTGGATTGGTATCTGCGTGGGGCAAGGAGGTCATTGCAACTTCTGTTTGCATTTTTTAACGTTTATGACCTTTTTAATGTTCATGATCTTTTTAATGTTCATGTTGAAACTCTGGCAAATCAGTGGCATTCCTTTTTTGGCTTTGGGCTGACATGTCCTCACAGCACATAGCAACTAATCCCTTCAAAACAGGAGCCTTTTTTGAAGGGACGGTTCCCTCGCTGCAAGTCATGACACATTGCAATATGAAAGCAAAGCCTGACCTGGCAACAACGGTCAAGCTCAAACCAAGAGTGGTAGAGTGAACCCTTCCACTATGGTTTCAGTAACTTTAAAACAAGCCAAAGGGTAAAGGTAAAACAGGAACTCCTCTTAAGACTGTGAGGGAAAATGTGGAGGCAGTGTGAAGTACATGTGTGCTCACCTCCCTGCACAGCTCCCTAGGAGACGGGCATGGGGCCACCTTTCCACCAGGTCTGCTTTAAACAGAAAATGGCCATGTTCTCCTTGCTGGGCCCCAACTTTATCGGTGTAGGTGAGAATGACTGTCGTATCTGGGCTGTCAGGGAAATTAAGCAGAGGAACGGCTATCTTTGGCTTCTGCCTAGGCTCTGGTTGGGACAGTTTTGGACATGGGCAAAGGCAGCAATGTTGTCTGTTGAGGTCTCACAATGGCCTTGCAAGGCTTCCCGGATCAGGATTGTTTACTGCAGTTAGTCAGATATGTGTCAGGCTGCAGAAAGCCAAAATAAATTCCTTACAAAGCCGGAAAGTTTGAAATAAACAAAAGCTAAGCCCCCTTCCTGGGAGAGTGGCGGCATTTTGCAGGTGAAGAAACTGAAACCAAGAAACCCAATGCATCTGTGTGTGTGAATGAAATGGGTCAATAATATGGCTGGGAACAGGAGAAAAAAATCCTAGCTCTTGGGCCTGCATTTATTTACTGCTTCACAGCTTCACTGTCAAATTACCTGTTTTATTTCCTTCTCACGCTGAAGCTCTTTTCCCATACATCCATCCTGCTCACACACAGACACACACACCCTTTTCCCACTCTGCCTTCTTTCTGTTCTTTATCCTTCATGGATCTTTCTTCACTGCTGTGAGCCAGATGGGATTTGTCCTTATTCTTGTTCAATGCTGTTATTCTAAATGTGACACTTTTGTGAGTTTGGAAGAGGTAATAGGAGCTCTAAAGTTACACAAAAGCAGCCATGTTGGGTAGTAATTCCTTTGCTGGCCATGCTGGGTAATATTTCCCTTCAGTATAACTCCTGAGAATTGCCCATAAGGAGGTAAAAAAGGAGAGGGAGTACATCATTTATTACAAATGGTCGAGATGCTCACCTGAATTCATGCTGGTGCCAGTGTGGTGAATCACTCTTAAGTCAAGAATCCTGCAGCCAACCAGCTCGGAGCAATTATTTAATCCAGCTTGGAAATCGTCATGGTTTAGATTTTATGTTTTAGGTTTTAGGGCTGAAAGAAGGAATGGTGGAGGACAGGACTCTTGCAGCAGGTTGACACAGACAGCGAATAGGTGAGCTTCCCAGGAGCAATGGAGTCAAAGGAAGTCTGTGGATGAAAATGGGCTAGTGACAGGGCCTAAGGGTAGAAGTGATGCCTCATATCCCATATACAATGAGTATGAAATTAATCCACAACAGAAATCAGCAGACCACAGCAGTATGGGGTAAGTGTTGTGTTGAAAGTGTTCGGTACATTCCTGCAGGATGAACGGATGGCAGCTGCCAAAACCCTCTTCATGCAGGCTCACCACATCAGCAGCACCTGATTGCACTAGCAGGTGTATCCATACCCATATGATTAGAGGAGATACAAAAAGACACAGTGAGATGACAATGGATTTTTTTTACATTAACCTTTTAATGCACTCAGCATTAGTGCTGGTAAAAGGCAGCCCCAAAGACTGCTTCTAGTCCCACTCCCTCCTTTCATCTCTCCAACCCCACTAGTCTGGAAACAAGTTAATGGAGCAGGAGAAGCCCATAGCAGCAATTGTCACTTCTGCCTTTTGCCACTTTGAAGCAAGCAGAAGGGCTGGCAGCATGTGACTAGAAAAAGGGTATTACCAGCTGCCCTCAAGGAATAATTAATGAAACTTTAAGATAATAGCATGGACTTGTTTGTTATTAATTCTTTGCTCCAGGATAGCTGTTGGGAACCTTTAGGCCCACCTCTGAAGAGAAAGGCTGATGCTACATGAAGGAAATTAACCATCCGGCATTTAGAAAATGAACCTGCCCATGCAGTCTGTAGTCGTCCTTTACATTTGGTATCAAGCTGCCCTTCAGCTGTATGCTGACATGGGAGCATCTCTTCTCCTTGCCTGCTGTGGCATTGGGATTCACTGCTGGAAGATTGTACCAAAAGGGCTCAGGCATTTTAGGATGTTTGGCCATATACTTGACTGTATAAGCTGTGGCATGGAGATGCTGCAGAATGAGTACACAAACTAAAACGCTACCACCGGCTTTGAGAACATTTTTTTTAATCTTACATTGTAACAATTTAAATTTGCCTTCAAAAAACAGGCACAGAAATATTGACTTTTCAAATGATTTATTTGTATATATCACCAAATCATAAAAAGCCAATGCACGGTCCAGCAAAAAGCATCAATATATAAAACACGTTAACTCATTATCAGTAACACTAGAGTGTACCACTTATACTGAACCCAGTCCAGCTCCTACTAAAGCCAAAGGCAACTTCATCGGTGACTCCATTAGCAGAAGGATTGGACTTAGAATTTTTATTTGCTGGGTGTTTACAAAGGGCTGTATTAAAATGCTAGTAAAAAGCTTCCCTCTTGAGACTGTATCAAAACAATAATAAACCTCCCTCCAATTCTGTTTCTGTCAAATGCATGCAATTAAAGCTACAAATCAGCAGTCATTACACTGCAAAAGACCATACAAATCAAGAGAGATAATATTCAAAACAGACCAGGTTCTACCCTCAGCTTGTGTGGACTGGCGTAGCTCCAGAATGGCTCACAAAACTAAGCTATATGCACCAGCAAAGGATCTGCCCCTCTACTGCTTTCAACAGTTAAACAAATTATGAAAAAGTGTTCAGTTTTTGTCCCCAAATACCCATTACATGGGGACCTCTTTAGCAGCATAACACAATAGTTAATCTAGACCCTTATAAAGCTTTTCCCATGTGGCTATAAGAAGAGACAGTAGCTCTTGAATACGTAAGTCACAGGGCATACATTTCAGAGAGGCTTAAATGTTTTCAGGCTCTTCAGTGACTTATAAGCAAGATCTCCTTCAGATCTTTGGAGGTTGTACTCAAACTTTTTAAAACTCTGGGTGTTAATGAGCTACTTTCAAAAATGGCAAGTCTACAGAGATTTGGGAAAAGTCTTTCCTTCCCCACACAGGGCGAAGGGCCAGCTGTAGGGTATCACAATCTGCCAATGCAGAAAGAAGAGGTTTCCAAAGCAGCCCCTCCAAACCTGCTGGCAATGCCAGCACCTTTACACTAGATATCTGCACAGCTGACAGGTGGCTCTCTCCAGAAGCTGAGTTCAGGCCAACACATGCTTCAAAGAGATGCTCTGCAGTTTGTGAAGCCACATGAGCCAGCAGCAGCTGAGCAGGCCAAGCAAAGGCTGAAACTGGTGTCAGCACTGCCAGCACAAGCACTGCCATGCTGGATCCCTCACACTGCAGCCCGAAAGCCAAAATCCCTCATAAGAAATGCACTAATACTTCTCCTCACTATCTATTTCTGTTCTGATTTATGGCACTCTCCTGTCCCCCTCAGTAGTCCTTGTCCCCAGTAGGAAAAGATGCAAGAAATTAGATCAGCTTGATGTCAATAAAACCCTCTGTGAAGTTTGCAGGAATGTTTTTGGAGATGAAAGGACCCAGGGGAAGGATCCAGGGAAAGGTATCAGTGGAACTGCTGGGCTTTTTTGTTGTTGTTTTATTTATAAACCTTCAAAAACATCTTAGAAGTGTACTTCAGACCACCATATATTGATTTCTCAATTGTGTAGCCTGGGCTGAAAAACAGTAATAGTTTTATTCAGAGAGTATTTGACCAGAACTGCCCTGATACCATCGGTCTGCCCTGACTGTGGATGCCAATGCAATGGTCCTCCCCCTGGGATGATCAGCACAGAGCTTCTTGGCATCATTTAGCAAAAGGACTGCTTGCAACTCCAGAAGGCTGTGATTTAATAAGGAGACCGTTAGCACCTTTTGAAGTCAAATGTTGAACATTGTTGTAACCATGACAGTTACAACTGCTGCAGCAGCCTAGAAAGTAGAATGGGTTAACTGATGCAATCAAGATCCAGTGTGCTGCAGGAAGATGTGCTGTATTTCAGACACAAACTAATGGACTTCACAGTGTTAACAGGGAAAAATAATTTCCTCTGCTGCAGGAGTGAGGAGGTGAAAAGCTCTGGACTGTGTTATGTGGGATACCATGACAGATGATTTTCAAACATTTCCCTGCCTTAAAACCTAAAACTGGAATCAAACTTGCCCAGATATGGGGGGAAATGAGGGGAAAGTAAGGAGAGATAAAGAGTAGTTTTGTCACAGGACCATTTACTCACTTGTGTGAAAAATCACCTAAGATGTCACAGTAACCATGAATCTTCATTCCCACCTCCTGGCAGGTTGTCTCAACCCTCACTTTTCAACATAGTCAAGTGGGAAGGGGGAACAAAAACTTTGCAATTTGGGTTTCCACCATATACAAATAATTCAAGTTATTTTAGTGAGCAGCTCTTGCTGCCAGGTACTTTATCTCCTTGATAAACACCAGAACCACCAGGCTAAAACATTGTTATTTAGGAATTTCAAGGCAAGTACAAGAGCTCCAACAGGAGGATTTGAGGGGGAGCCAGGATAACACCATGGAAGCAGTTTTTGCCAGGTAGATGGAGGCTTGTTTCCCAAGACAGAGGGGAAAATTAAACCTCTGCCTTGCAGTTACCTGCCAGCAGGGAGGGCTGGGGAAGGACCAGTACAAGCATTTTAACAAGTAGCTCATCACTTTCTGCCACCCCTATGAAATGCAGCTTTTCGGGTAACGTATAAGATTCAATGTCTAACAAATCACAGATGCTGGCTTTTTGTTTTGGCGAGATAAAAAAATATCAAAAAACAAACCAAAAAAAAATCATTATTTGACCAATCAAAAGGGCTATTCACGCAGCCCTTGGGTGCCTATGACCACTTTTTAGGAATGAGGATCTGACAGGAAGCTAATAAGCATTAAATCCTAAATCCTTTAGCTATCTATGAAAATAGGATTTAGACTCACATGGATTCACTTTTGACTACTGTGTGCAATAACAGTTCAAGCAGTTATAGTAGCTATGAGAGGTAGAAAAGTTTAAGCACTCAGGTGAATACATTCACGTTAATCTATGTTTGCAATAGCAGTTTAGTTACACTCTTTGGCATGGACAAAAGAAACTAAAGAGAAAGCACTGCTATGTAAATACTCTTCTCAACAACCAAATGGAAAGACACAGCTCAGATTAGTTTTCCTCTTTCTTATGGAGGACAAAAATAGAAACATGCACTTCAAGGCATTCGGACCATGGACAGAAATAATTCTAAAACAATTTCAGTGCTCATGAAGTTATATGAGCATTTTCTGACTGCATGCAGGTGTGGAAACATGACAGGCAAAACCTGCCTCTCTTCCCAGATTGCCTAAGCATAAGGAAAGGACATTTGTGATCTCCAAAGCAAACTTTCCAATGAGATAAAAATGGGCTCTTTCCATCAGCAAAGGAAACGCTCTGAGGCACAAATTTAGGACCTGGATACAGACAGGATACCCATTAGTTGAAGGATGTTCACACCCAGGCCATTTGATTTAGAAGAATGGACAAAAGTTTTGTCAAAATCCAGATTGGTTTCTCACAATATAGTGTAAGTCTTGCCAGTATAAATAACTGTCTGGATTTTTGATAAATTTATCATTTAATTAGCAAAAGATAATTTTCATGCAGTATGTTTGAGGTGGGGGCTTTGGAGAAGGGAGATTATAAAAGCCACATTCACCCAAGCACCAAGTTTCTATGTACTTTCTTGCAGAGTATATTGCAGCTGGGATCCATTCTGAATTTGTACATTTGATATTGCATTTTCTAAGACCTACCACGTAGATCAATGTGTGATCTGAGGTTGTGCAGAAACCCTGTTTCCCACTTAAAGCCTGTACAATGGCCTGTAGCTCACCCTTCGCTAGGAAGGGGACCCCACGCCCTGCACCCAGATCAGCCTGAAGAGACTCCTATGCACCTCCCCCATTTCTCAGGTGATGGTTTCCAACCATCAACCTAAGGCTAAGCTGCATGAAGTGCTAACAATTGAGATTGGACCAATATGCAACAAAGACTGAAAGATTCTGGAGGACAAATGAAGGTGAAGCATGGCTTCATATCTCACTGATGAGAGCCTTCAGGTGTCCAGGAGAATCCTGAGTGTCCTCTCCCAACCAGTCATGCACTTCACATGCAACAGTCATTGCACCAAGAAACCCCAAACCCTCAAACCACAAATCAGTTTATCCAGTCTAGCCTTCCATTTCAGAGAATAACACAAACTAGGGCATTCTCTAACCCCCTGTTTACATTGGCGATTTAGACTAAATAGAGCAAGTACACTTGTTTTCTTAAGGTGAGTTTTCAGGTTACTTGAAATACAGTGGTTTAGATTGGTTAGATTCTCAGACATGAATCAGCTTAGCTTTTCTGTCCCTCAGGAACTACAAAAACTTGCTACGCCAAAGATCTGCCTGAGTTTTGTCATCTGTTAAGACAATAAATAAATTTTCAGATGAATTCTCCCATCTACTCCCATCTCCCATCTACATCCTCCCACTACTATATAACTCTGTTATAAATTCATCTTTTTTCCCCTTTGTCACCTTATTTTTTCTAAAAGCAATTAAATGACTGTTTACAAATAGACATGCTGGCTGTTTTGAGCCGGAATATTGTACTGTGTTTCAGAAGAGTATGGTTTGACAACCAAATCAAAATATGTTCTGTTTGTCAGCTGTTGGTCTGTATTTAAAATTAATTAATAACAGGACCATGTTCATGACAGTGTCCTTGGCCATTTAGGAGTCCATGGTGCAGAATTCCTGAATTGGGGGAAAAGTACCCCTCGCTTATGCAACATAACTGTAAAGTGTGTGCTCTTGTTCCTTGCAGCTCTGCTTCCATCCTGGATAATACAGAGGTTAAATTGACAGTGTTTCATGTTGGTGAGGGAAGCCCTTGAAGGAAAATGTGACTCTATCCCTAACAGGACTACTACAGGATAACATCAGGACATTACCCAGAGATAGGGTAGGAGTTAAAACATCTGCAAACCTACATTAGAAACCCATCTCAGTCCTTGGGAGGTTGTGCACTGGCCAGTGCTTTCCTACTCCACTCACATCACATCCACATCCACCTCTGGGTATTACAGACTATGTATCATTGCACAGATCCTAGTACTGAGTAAGAAAAAGGCAACATATAAAGATAAGGCAACCTAACAACTACTCTGATCTAAGCTGCCTGTTAGAGAAGAGCTTATATCCATATTACAGAAGAGCAGCAGAATTATTTCTGGCACATATCTGTGTACATTGTACATACACACATATACCACCCCCCTGACATGGAATACTTTCATGACAAAGTCTGTATACTCAAGTGTCCATCACTGGTTATTATAACAACCAGTTTGCTAAGGAACCATAGAAACATTGCCGTAGCATTCAAGTGTCCTTCAGTTTTTAAAGTAAATCATCATGCTCTTAGTTTTGCAATTCCTATTGAATTCACACCTGAAAGGTGCCTCATGTATTAGTAGGATAAAAACTTAGGAGCGTTTGCGCCCTCATGAGGAAACTCTATTCCCCAATTGTTCCTCCATTTTAAAAATAATAATAAACAACATTGATCCAAAAAGCTCATGTGACACTTCTTAGCTCAGATTTTTCTAACCCAATATGGACTGCTGGCAGGAAACTGATAGGGAATTTAACCTGGTAACCTGGACATCAGGAATATATTTGGTATAAAAGAATAATTGTGTGGCAACACCTTGGTGCCTCAGAAAGTAGCATCCACTTGCATTTGACCAAGTAAGGCTCTCCTTTCCATTATTAGCAATTTTCACAGGCCAAAACAAAGACCTTTTGACTGTGGTTATAGCATCGCAGGAAACATAGTGACTAAACCACATCCCACATTCTCCACCAGAATGGCTCACAGCTTTGCAATGGCCAGCAGCAGGAGGGGCTGCATGGGCAAAGGCCACAAAGCTTTTTCCCCTTCTACCATGTGACAGTAAATGAATACAAGTATAAATACCACAGAGGGTTCTAGTTCTTTGAATACACCTCTTGCTAGAGTGTTCTCAGAGGCCTGCTTTTGGAGATGGAAAATTAAAGAAGGCATTGAAATATCACAGAAACACAACATTAGAGTCAGAGAAATGCCTCCTGCAGCCATGCTCTGCGCTGGTTGGCAATGGATGACTAAAAGCAGAGGTCAAAAATGTACAAAAGAAACAGGTGTGTGAAAGAGAGCATAGGTAGGTAGGTATGTGCATATAAATAATACTGCTGTTCTAACACATTTTCAACCTGGCATCACCAAGTTGGCCTAAGTGTCCAAGCTTTAGGAGAAGATGGTGCTCAAAGCTAAATGCAAACATAACATCTCAAGCAGGTCCAATATTGCTGGGCATTGCACAATACCGTTCCTCCCCTCAAGTCATCCAGAGAGCTTCTCACTACATGATCTGCCTTCTCAGCTGCCCAGGGGCTTCCTTCAAAACTAGCTTTGCCTTTAAGCAACACTGATGCTTGCAGTCTGGGGGCCAGCCCCACCCCACCTGGCCAAGTGAGGGGAGCTGGTGGAAAGAGACCGGTTGGTTTACATGCCAACCCCAACAGCCAAGATGTTTGCATTCATAGGCACTGAATGAATGAGGATGGAGACACTTGCTGTCTTCTGCCTCCTGGTTCTTCAAACCCCCAGACAAACCCGGCAACAGTGGTCCCAACCCAAAAGTTACTTCAGCCTAATCCTGATTTGGCACATACAGAAAATATACAAAGCAGTATCATGGTTCCAAATGAAGAGTAAGACATACACTGAAGTAATTTGTGGGAAGAGACATCACTCTTTAATCTTAAATTCAAAGTGAGATTAGAAGGAAAAGTAGTGTCTTTTACAGTTGAAGCAACTGGGGAACATAGGAAACAGGCTAACTTTCAGGACCCAAGCTCTTCTTCAGGGTATGAAGGGGAATGTCATGCCCTGGCAAAGGGCTTAGGTACCTGCAAGTGTGTCTCTCTTATTAGATCAACTGAATAAAAAAAGGCACTTCAAAAGTCTTGATCTCTGAATAGTCAATTGATATTAACTAACTTCATCTCTGGTTCCCTGTTCAAGAGCTTCTTCTCTGATGTCAATTCACAGCTGCAAAAAACCCACCACTGCAGAACTTTCAAAGGAATTGCATTCCCTTGTGTGCAGAAATCATGCTAAAAAACAAGATCTCTCTACATACAGCTGGGGCTATAGGCGATGTTCAAAGGGCTGCTCACTGCTTACAGTCCACGGAGGGTTTTTTCCCTAAACCTGTGAGAACAATTTGGACATTAAACATAATGTTAGACTTTCTGCCCTAAAATGCTTACCAATTCAGGGATTTGTTACAACTTCAAATTCTGTTTCAACCAAATGCTTAAGCCAGTACTTAACTTTAAGCATCAGATAGCCCCCAGAATGCAACAGTAAATCTGTCTGGTTTGTGCTAGCCTCAGGCTTGAGTTCTGATGGGATAGAAGCCTGCTATCTTCCTCCCTTCCTTCCCATTTACTAGGCAATATAGTTGTGCACAGCTTGCACTCGTGTTGCAGTAAATTCAGTCTCGACTCAAACACGGCTGCCACAAACAGTGTCAGCGTACTCCCAAAAAACCTTCTTCAAACTAAACTTAACTTCTTGCTTAAGTTTTCTGTGGAATCAGGATCTTCTGTGTATGTGTACCCAGGAAAAACTACTAAATTGTAGTATAACTTTACTTCTCTGCCATGCAAATCCCACACTCGTCTGAGTGACTCTTCTTAATTAACAGATCTACTTCTCATCTCAACCATCCACCTTATTTGTTCAAGCACTGGCCAAGCAAAACCGAAAGCAACAATGAAGCCACTAGTGAACTTTGTGTAATTAGCAGTTCTCCCTTTCACAGTAAAATTCATCAGCCCTGGAATTCTGGCCTGTGAGTGGGGAGAACAGACAGATTCAACACTGAACTACCTATAAAATAACTGAGCTGTTCGACCTCTTAGTTATGTTTATAGATATATGGAGGTATCTACAATGCAAATGTTTGCAGTAATTTTGCATACCCTATATGAAATAAATATCACAAGTAAATTCTAATACTCAAAACTGAATAATATACAATGTTAGGGACCAAGTTACATTTATAAATGCACAAGCATTAATACTATCTATTCAGCCTAATTTCTTAGTAAGCAAGCTTCAGCAATTGCTAGCTACACTACACTTCAGGAGTCATAATAAAGATTTGTCATGCCAAAATCTAAGAAGAAACAAAACCACAAAAATTCTCCACCATCCTTCCAAATGATACACAGTTTTTGACAGATACTGTAATAATACAGTGGTTTCATAAAATCCATTAACACTGTCCAATATTAAATACCAATTCTGGAACACAGGTCTCTGTTCTAAATGAACTCAAAATCAGAGCGGGAACAACAAGCTTGTCATGACTGTGTCCATACATAGTAAAAGCAGAGACAAAGCTGCAACAAAGCTGCAATTACCCAGAATAAAGTGAGAATAAGGGCAGCTTTACTGGTGAAAGGTAGGAGAGGGAGAGAAGAGGGACTGGACACAGCACCAGTTACAACTGCTGTTGCAGAATATTTTGAAGAAATAGCCTGGACTCTGTAGCCTGGTCGTGCCAGCTCAGTCCTCAAAACTGCCCCCAGCCTCAAAAACCAGTGATAGCACATAGGAGCTCTGCTAGAAAGAGTGGGTTACAGATTGCACCTGTGCAGGACAGAAAGTTTGCTGTGCCAATGGCACATGGGACTGTTCATTCTCTGTATCCTAATTGTAAGTATTTCTGCCAACAATTTCTCATGGAGGAGGTGGATGATTCGCAAGTACATCTCTTTTCAGCAAAGAAAAGATCTCACACGCTCGATACCCTGACTCAACTTCAGCTCACACTATTGAATAATAAAACCTAGATCCTGCCCCGGAAATTTGCTTACACTTTAGATCATGCCACTTTTCTCATCTTGCAAAGAGGTTCGTGAAGCAGATCTTCCTAGCAACAGCTCCTTCTCATGGATCAGGCTATCTAGCAGGTCCTCCTGTCTGTAGTTGTGATAAACCTTCAGGAAAGCCAGAATGGTAATTCCCAGCCAAGTCAGCCAGGCAGCCCAGAGACCAAACTAGAGAAGAAAATAAATGATAAAGAGATCAGTACTGTATTGTAAAAACAGTCAGCTGTCCAGGTGAATACTGAAATCTTAGCTGGACCAAAACCCATGGACTCATGCTAAGTTACACGCAGTGAGGTCCTGGCCCCACTGTTCCTCAACTCTCTCAAGTTATTCCTAGCTTAAAAGGAAAGACTCTTTATGTACTAGAAAAAATGAAGCAAACAAGTACTAATTCTGTAATTAAAAAAGGAAATCTGTATGATTCAGGTGCACCCATTGAACTTTACATTTCTGACATTCTGGCCCACCCCAAATTCTTGGGATTATTTCATTTTTGTTATTTCAGAATTGCAATATGTTTTATGACATTTTCCAAAACTTTCTTCCTAAGTCCTTCAGGCCTTCCACTACCCCTTCAGAAGTGTTAATTTTAAGGTATTTCTATTCAAAATATTGTTGAGAAAATCTTATCAATTGAACTTTCACTTTCTGGGGTAACTGGTTCACATTAGCATGAATCCAGAGAGCAAGAGAAACCCACCACAATGCATCCAAGTGCTTGATGGCTTATTTATACCTGGCATGAGAGGCCTGGGCTTAAAGCCTCAGATCTGCATTAAGTCCCATCACTATCTTAGTCTCTGTTGCTTAACTCTGTATAAATAATTACACTTTGATAGGTTCAGGTACTTGAATGTTGGTCTCCCTGCCTCATTGGAGGCTCATTTGTAGTAAGGCTTTCTGGCAGAAATTCCGTTTTAATTCTATGATGCCTTTAGCAAAGAAACATTAATTGAATCCCTGTATTTCAGTTTTGACATACTGAATTTTTAATTAAAAAAATACAACTTAAACATTTCCAGACAGTAGTACAGCTGTGTACTCTAATAGCCAATTTAGATAAGCATGGGCCACTATTTTTTAAAGGGAGCTTATGTTCATAAATATCTTATGCGCTTTGGAAATTCTCTTAAGTATTTCTGCCCATACTTAGAATTATCTCAGTTCACCAGTAAAAAATATTTTTGAGTTATTCTACAAACCTTGAAAATAAGGAGATATGAATTTGACTTTATAGGACTATATCTAGAGAACTGGAAGTTTTGCATTCATTTCTTAAGCACCACTGCATTAATGAAATAATTATCTTAAAGGCATTCAGATATCTGCTACTGCTGTGGTCTTCTCAGCATATTTGATATGAAAGAATCTACTTGGACTTAGCCAAATTCAGTAAAACTCCCAGAGCCATCCTGATGTGTTGGAAGGATCTGAATGGAGAAAAGCAGACAGAGACAGGGACAGAGACTGCTTCTAAGTAAAGCCTACTGTAGGAAATTATTTGACTTATAAGGAAATGTTTGCTTTAGCCAGTAAATCTAATATGTTCTTGGGGTTTTCTTCATGCTGTTTCACAGAAACTTATCTGCCCTTCATAGACAGATTGATCCTTGTACCTTCATCTAACTCTGCTTACACCAGCCTGGATATCAGAAGATAACGATGTAGGATCGTGTTCCCTGCTTGGTCCTTTCTTCAAACAGTCACAACCAGGATTCACTTTGACACTACCACATCCAGCTTTTGAAGCCAAGCAGTGTTTCCCTGGAGCTGTTATGCTGCCAGGCTCTTTATACTTGGATGCAGAGCTTATCGGCTGGACCTTGCAGGCTAACTCAAGGATGTCTGGAGGGACATGGATTGGTCTGGGGAGCCTCATTCAACAGCTTGAGCTGATCCATCTACACTGTGATATGTTAACCCTCCTGCAACTGAAGTGCTGTGTGCATGGATCTGGACATTTAGGCATGGCTCCCTGTTAGAGAAATGTCTTCTCTTGCATATAGACTGCCAACTGTCCATCCTGAGATCACAGGGTGGACATGGACATTTAGTTCTCATGAACATAAAGCTACAGACTAACTGTTTTACTTCTGCTACCCTACCACTAGCTGGCAAATTAGGAGCTAATGGCAAAATCTGCTACAAAATACAGCTTGGTCTTGGACTAGCATTGTAAAAAGGAATCGCTTCTATGGCATATTTCTGTCCTACTGTCCTGTGTCTGAGTTGGGTGTCTAGATGACAATGCTGGCAATGAAGACACAAAACTAGCTTGTGTCCAAGAGGCAGGGTTACATTCAAGGAGTGCCCCAGGCAAGATAATGCCTCTTCCCATGCTGGACAACATAAGAAGCATGTGTATGGGTGCAACCCACCATGGATGGGGCTGTACTCCTTGCAGAACTAGTATGTGTTCAATTGCACAGTTCTCAAGTACCAGTGTTCACAGACTTTGACTGTTGACTTAGAGCTAACACATTCAATTGAAAGGTCTGACAGCCTTAGAGGTCAGATTCTCAAAAATCCATCAGAAAACAGCCCTATCTAAATGACAGTAATCTTTATTTATTTTCAGTGGTCTGATATTTATATAGCTCAGACGATCTCAGACAAACTCATGGAAGGCAAAGCTAATAGGCCCATGATCTGGTGCAGGTCAGGCATTATTCTGAACAGCAATGAAGAGCTCCAGGACACCTGAATGTCGCAACTTTTGCAGAGCTCATCCTTTGGAGGAACAATACATTTTCCATCATGAGTAACAAGATCAGTGGCAGAGTCAGTTTTTGACAAGTCCACATACAAAACTATACATTTTGAATTTAAAATGCAAATGTTCCCATCACTATCAACCTGATTCACCACTTACTGAAGTCAGTGGAAACATTCCCATTGATTTCAGAGGAGTAGTAGTTCAGCACCAGCAATCCCAGATCAATGAGCAAATGGCAAATGAATGGAATAGAACCATGACCTTTTCTGACCTACCTGTGCAATAGCAAACTGGTCGTAGAAAGCAGAGTTTTCTAAGTTCAGCTCAAGATCTATATCCTGTAATTCTTCACAGCTACCCAAGGAAGGCATTTGGAGGGGAAAAAAGAAAATTATTTCAGAGATTCCAAACAGGCAAACCAGTTATGGAAGAAAGCGACATCTTAAAAGTGGTTCAGAGAGTCACAATGGCATGTTCTATCAAAAGATTTTTAAGTTATTGCAGTAACCAGCTTACTTGCCAATCTTCTCTAAAACTAGGCTAAAAAAGGCATGTAATTACTTTATTTTAATATATATATATATATATATATATAATTATGTAAGTTATAACACCAATCTTCGTAAGTGGAACTATAATAGTTATTATGAAAACAGTATACTTAAAACCCTCTTCTCCCACTACCCTCAAGCCTCCCACATTTACACATCTGGCATCACCCCAGGCTGATTGCTTCACCCCTCAATGAAACAAAGTGTATGAGCCTCCATTACCTTTTGACTTCATCAGGAAAAGCCTCAGAAGAAGGGATAGTGTGGGTGTTTTTGTTTCGGATGCTCCAGCAAGGAGACGATACTCTGATGGTAAGATAGAGGCTGCCTACAGATTTTACAAATAACTTGGACTTTTACTGGTGTGAAAAAAATTCCAGGATTTTGAGGTTGTCTTTCTATCTCTTGGTTGATTTCTGCAGCCTCTTCTCTCTCCTTTTCAGTGCTGTCGGCCATCTTGGGTTCTTATCCGAATATTCGATTAGACGTTTTTTGTAATTGAATTTTTAACCGAATATTCGAATAATTCGATTAATCGTTGCAGCCCTAAATAGAACATTTACTATGGCATTTTACAACATATGACAATGTGCAACAGAAATGTATGCTTTAAGTAGTACGTTTATTCAATATCATATGACATAAAATGTCACCTTTTCCCCTCTCTTCATTGTTATTTGTTTGATAGGAAAAAAATCTACCTCAGCTTAGCATGTTTCCTATTAGGAGCATAAGCATCATGGGATACAGTAGACCATTTTAGGAGCTGTACAGTTTGTGCACTGTAAGAAAGTATCGATCATCTCTACTTTGCACTTAAAAAGTACTTTCCATTCTTCAGCTCTCAGGCATCCACAGCACCTTGGATGATGGTGCACTGTGGCACAGGCAGGATGAGTGACTTGCCCGCTGTCACACAGCAGGTCAGTGGCAGAGCCAGGACCGCAAGCCGGGAGCCCTGACTCCCAGTCCCCTGCCCTGCTCACAAGGCCACAGTCCCCTCATTCTTACAGCACGTCCCAATCTAGCTCTCCTTTGGAGATGAAAAATTTTAAACTAATGGATTTCTTTTGCATATGACTGTGACTCTTAAAGAGACCATGAAATGCCGTGGAGATGTACTTTTCTTTGTGGGGAACTAAATGCAAGAAAAGTTTGATTTGCTTTTTTTGTTCCAGATGAAAAAAATCTATATCTCCACATTACACATGCCTTCTCCCTCTTGCTCACTTTACATGTAATGACTACAGTTTATAACAGCACTGTTCATTTGTGCCTATATGAAAAAAAAAAAAAAAAAAAAAAGGGTTCGTCAATACTAACCTATTTGGCATGCTTCCTTTTTCAGTAATTGCATCACACCACATGTTAAATCCTACACTCACTATAGTGCTAGCAATAAATGTGATAAACACCACAAAGGCGCTGATCAGCAGATTCAGGAAGGCATAAAAGAAAGAGCTGCAATAAAAAGGAAGAAAAATGTAACTCATAAACAGCTGAAACACAACATCAGCAGTCTCTCTAAGCAGCATACACTGGGCACAAAGATATCAGTTTCCATTTGAAACACATCTGCTTTAATTAAGAACACCTAATACATAGAAAAACTATGGATTATGATTTTGAGTCATATTATCTTTATTTCCAAGTGCTTCTGATTTTGATTTTTTTTCCACCATAAGAGGATGGGGTTTTAAATCATAAATACTAAGTGGCAATTGTTCATACACAGCATGGCTTTCATTAGCTGTAATGATGAAAATCACCATTGTTAAAATAAATGTCATTAGCTCAAATTATATAGTAACTGGAGCTAAAATTATTTCATGACTAAAGTGATAATTGGGGATAAAACTGCCTAGGAGAGGAAAACTAAAAATAAAACAACACAGTACTGATAGATATAATCATTTTAAGCAATGTAACACAAGATACTGCCATCATAGGACACGAATATCAGTTTTATGGGCAATTTGCAGAGCAGGCCAGCTTCTCCTGGGACTTCTCTGGCTTTGGTGTCAGTGTGTTATTTCTGCCAGCTGAATGTCAATTTACTTCAGCCCTGTTAAGTCTGCCCAACCAGGGCCAGCCTTAGGCACGTGCTGTGTTTGGAGTGGTAGGGGGTGGAATACTTTCAAGTAGTCCCATAAGTCCAAGGAATTGTCTACTCATCTTCCAACCTCATTGCTTAACTCTCCCCATTAATTCTAGTTAGTGAATATTTTCTAATCCTCTTCTCATTCATCTAGTCAAGCGCTTCACCACTTGAAACTGCTCTTGGTGGCACTTGGAAAGTCTCATCATTTGAAAACTGGACATCTACTCTAGGTTGGAAAAGACTGGTAACTCCAGGAGACAGGTCATCCTATTCAGGTTAGGTGGTAAGGATGAATATGATTAATTTCATGCCAGTACCACTCATTATGCTGAGAATAAATGGAGTCTGCTCATCCCAGAGAACAAAATAACCCAGTCATTTCTTTTCCCTAGGGACTTATTAAATGAAAAGCCAAGAGGCTTTTTGAGTCAATGTTTGAATCCTGAGAAGGTTCTTGGCTGGTCACACCTAATTTATACAGGTTGTACATGGTGAGACTATGCAACCTCAGTAGGATTTCTTCAAAATGAGATGGGTAAACAGTTACCAGTGGGGTTCAGATGTCTGTTTCTGGGTTGACATGGCTTTAGAGGGGCTGTCTAGGCTGTCTCCAACATGATGGTCGTGCCATCCCAACACTCATAGAAAATAAGTGAAATAAATCACCTTCCAGAAATTCTCTTACAGTCTCTAGTGGGAGCTGGATGCCAGGACACCTGATGAATGATGATGAATGTCGAGATGAATCCTATTCCTACCCTTTGGACTTGGTGGACTAGATCAGACCACCTCTGCAGAGTGCCGGGGTCACCCATACAGCAGAGGGAGTTGGTACAAGCACACCAGTTTTGCCTGTTCGCTGTCCCTGCCTTGATTTCACACCTTGCCTAGATTTCAGTGTTGCTAAAGTGTTGCTAAAGCCATACCCACTGGGTATACCTTAGCATGGTACACTGGCCTAAGAGTCAGAAAAGACTTGAGTTGTCCACTGACTTAAAACAGAGTTAACACCAGAATTAGTAACATCTCGAGAAAAGGAACAGTTCCCAGGTGTATTCAGCGGATCATCGCCAGCCCAGGACCTCTCATCCTCCCTCTGCTTCCTACCCTGCAGCACAAAAGTGCCAAGGTCCAGAACTGGACCTTCCACTGGCAAAGCAGGGCTGAGTGTTGCACGTGATTTGCACCAGGCAAGCAGTAACCATCACCATGTGCCGGAGGTTCCTCAGGCCAGGGCATCCTGGTCGAGAACTGTGTTAATCTGGCTCTCTGCCTCACCTATTTTTTCGCTTTTGTCAGAATTCCAAGCTACGTGTTCCAGATCGAGTGGAAGCCTTGTAATGATAAATGCTTGCACTCAAAGTACAAGTTGCTTTGCAGTCCTAGTAGTGAAGTATCTGAGCTGTGTCTCTACCTTTCAGCTGAGCTGAATAGTCCCAGGCCCAGAGTATGGCTGGCAGCCAGCATTTGCTTTTCCTACTCCTGCAGGCAACTCAAGCTCAGTCTGTCTGTCCCTGAGGCATGGGGTGCTGAGACCCTTTTAAGAAGTATTTTTAACAGTCCTAACTATCTGCTGGCAGTCATTCAGAGCCATTGCACATGAAGCCTGGCCACCTTGCTAGGATGCACAGGGTGTTAACCCTGACTGCCATAGGATCAGCGGTGATGTTGTTCTGGTTTCCTCATCAACTGCCTCTAATCAGAAATGGCAATTATCATTCATGGTGAGGAGCTCGCATTTGTGTCTCCATCTAAACAGACCTGTTTTCATGCCCGTTTGAAGCATTAACAAATGGCTGTCTGAAATCAGAATAGCATGTGTCCTCCCTGCTTTTCAGACAGACAGCAGCAGATCTGGTACAGGACAGACCTTCCTCCTTACTAGAAAACTGCTGTTTTCAACCAGCTTCCCTCTCGTTGTGTCTTACCCTTCTGTGATGCTCTGTGGTTATCTCATCATGCCAACTTGCTCCACCTTTGCTCCCCACCACCCCACAGCCTTCTGCTTCCTTTCTTGCCTGGAACAACTATGAACAGTGTTATACAACTGCTCATGCTCAGTCCAAAGGAGCCTGAAAGCAAATCCTAAAGGGACAATTCTCAAGGGCCTGCCCAACAGTTTTGAACTAAATAACCACATTTGGAAGCAGGCCAAATATCTGATCCAGATTTCTATTACAAGCTTTTTACTGCTGGTTTCTTCTAGTTCTGAACTGCAAAACTGAAAAAAAAAAAAAAAAAAAAAAAAAAAAAGCATCTAGATTCAGCTAATCCTCTATAGATATCTGATCACTTGAGGAAGTTCAATTTGAATGTATTAAAAATTACATGGTCATATTTAGGACTTGTAAGGTAAGGTTTATTACGGAAATAAGTTTCTAGTCTGTATTTACTATAGCATATTTTAGTATTAGGCAGCTTAAGAGTGGTCAGGAAGAGCTAGAGAGGCAACACTGCTACACAATCCCCAGTATTACCAACATCAGGGTGTTGTACAGGTCCAGATTTGAGTAACAGCCACTGACTCAGGAAACCTCCAGTCCAAATAAACCTGGACACGAGTCATTTACCCTTGGCATGGTGCCTAGACCGTAGGAAAATGTCTTTCTTAGCCTAGCCAGCCACCAGTGTGTGCTCCTGCCTTTCCACCTCTGTGCAGCTGGATGTTTGGATGGCCCTGGCCCCATAGCACCCACAGGCTAGGTCATCTTGGTTGGGGGCTTTATCCAAGGTGGCAGGACAGGCCACCAGAGAGACAAGCAGAGAACACAGCACTCCCGGGCTGATGTGTGGACCACCAAGCCTCTCACTGTACCTGCTGGGGTCTGATGCCCCTTGGTTTGTCTGAGCTCAGTAACCAGCTGCCAGTGCAGCTCTGCAGCTGCTGCAGGGAGCACTCAGCGTTGCTCTCATGTTGTAACCAAGCAATAGTTGTTCCCTGCAATAGTCACCATGTCCACCACAAAAGCAGGATAAAAAATAGAGGGGGACCACCAATTGCTTCATTCTGCTCGCCCTTGCACAACCATGTTGTTTCAAGATTTTTCATACACCTGTTGTACACTGGGGAAGACGCCCCCTTTGCAGGGACATGTAGTGGTACCACGGTCAGGAGGCACCTGCGAGCCCCAACCTCCAGCATCGCCCCATGGCCCCCAGCACCCTCCATGCCCACCACAGCTGAGCTGGCCAGATGCTGTTCCCAGACTGCCAGAGGGCAGTGGGTGCGTAACGGCAAATCTGGCCTCCACCCCAAACCCCTGCAGGGGAGCATCCTCCGGAAAGGGCCCTGGACAGAGGTGGGGCTGGACGTGGTGTGTGTGCAGACAGACACAGGCAATACACTGCCTCACCCCAAACCCCTCGAGGGTGTAGGATGACCTGGATGGTGCAAAGCCCAGTGCTTCACTCCCAGGCTTCTCCCACTTGTCCCAGCCTGCAGGAGGGATGGGCACCCCCTGCCCTCCCCGGGGATACTTACTCCTCGTGCCCTTTGCAGAGGAAGAAGAGGGTCCTCCAGGCCTGCACTGTGGCCAGCAGCAGGGAGAGGAGCCCGGTGAAGATGCTGAAGCGGCAGGCAGCCTCGGGCCCCCACTCCTGCACAGTGAAGCGCTGCCTCTCCACCGTCAGGTTGGCGTTGAGCCACATGCCCTCGGTGAAGAGCAGGCACCGGCCGTGGAAGTCGTTGCCATTCTCGGAGAGCGGTACCACCACGATGAAGCTGAAGAGGAAGGCCAAGAAGTAGCAGATGCACTGAGCGAAGAGGAAATTGCTGAGCGCCATGTCCGTGTCTCTGCGCAGGCAGAGGGAGGGAGAGAGGGAGGGAGGGAGGGAGGGAGACAGGCAGGAGGGAGAGATGCAAGAGGGAGGGATGCAAGAGGGAGGGATGCAGGAGGGAAGGATGCAGGAGGAAGGGATGCAGGAGGGAGGGATGCGGGGCAGGAGGCAGGGAAGGATGGGGGGATGAGGGGAGGAAGCCTGCAGCAGTAGGGGGTGGGGAGGGAGGATGCGCAGTGCAATGCAATGCGATGCCTCCTCCGGGCACAGCTGCTGCTTCTCCCGCAGCCAGAGCTGCCCCCACTGATGACTTCAGGTCTGGAACGGAAAGGAAAAGCTGTTGCAGCACATCTCTCGTTTTAGGGAAAATCTGGACGCTGATACACCCTTGCGACCAGGGGGTTACATCAGTCCGTGCCTCCCCAGCAGGGCTGGGTACCACTGGCTCTCAATGGGGTACCCCCTTAATGACATAAGACACTGATGTCACCCGTGTTCATGGCTGTGACATGCCCCCCTCTGCCACAAAAAAAAAAAAAAAAAAAAAAAAAAAAAAAACAAAACCAAACCAACCAGCTCATCCTGGCTGCTGGATCCCAGCAAGTTTTGGCCCCAGTTTCTAAAAATCTGACCACTAACCTCTGATGTTGGCAATAAGGGACAGGGTGCACAGCCCCCCTAGACCTGCAGACTGACTGATTTTGGCCCCAGTTTCTAAAAATCTGGCCACTAACCTCAGATGATGACAGTAAGGGACAGGGCGCACAGTCCCCCTGGACCTGCAGACTGAGTGATTTTGTTCCTAGCCCAGCTTGTCATCCCCATAACAAGATATTGCAACTGGCAGCAAGGGCTCACCAGAAGTGGAATAATTTTTGTTGAGCCTTGGTGTCAGTTAGGGGCTGCCCCAGGTTAGGATCACCTGCATTGTCCCCTGCTGGCAGACAGAGTAGGGGTGCAAGAAAATAACCCTAAACTTCAGTTTAACATCAATCTGAGAACGGACCAGCACAGCAATGGCATGTGCATGGCAGGGACAGTCACTGCTCACTCAGTTCACAGGGGTGAGCATCCACCCTACTGTGCACTGCCAGGGACCAGCCCCCTGTCCTGCACCACTCTTGGAAAGACATCACAGCATGCCCTCATCTCTAGGGCCCAAAACTACATGGCTGGGATGCAATAAAGCAGAAGGCATCAGAGACAGGAATGTGACTTGTGCTCAGTTCCCCACCCCCCACCCCACCCCCCACAAAAAATCCAAATTCAATTGACCCTAAATAAGAGTTTCTGCACAATCCCAATTTCATTTTTCCATCTAAACAGGAATCTTCTTTCCAACACAAGACACCGCAATTCATTTCCAGTTCCAGGTAAAATCATTTCCTAATCCAATTTCCCAGCTATATCCAGTCTGAGATCAACTGCAGGTCTCAGATCACTTCTTAATCCCAGGGCTGTTTCCACTCATTTCAGGCACTGTGCCATTTCCCAGGTAGTTTTTAGAGGAGCAGATGAGGGACTGGGATCCCTAATACACTGCCCATGGGATTTCAAGATTGTTTTTCCATTGGGCAATAAAACAATTTTTTCTAGGCTAAGAGGTTACAGATATAGTCCTGAGGCAGGTGCTGGGGGGGTTCTCAGAGAAGATGTTAATTCAGCTTCATTGTAAATCATTTGTAATTCATATTATCTTGTGATAATTTTGTTAGATGCATACAGGGAAGTATTTCTTGTGCAGATTCTGCTTCTTGCATAAAAACTTTTGTCAGTATATATGAAAATCATCAGGCCATTTTTTCTGAACCTTACCCAACCCTGATCATCAAAAACTGTATTTCAGTTTTGCAAGATGATTCATAGACCACTGACCTGACCCTGTGGAGATAGACGTGCACTCCTAACAGAAAATATTTCGCTGATATTTCAGTCTGGTAGTAAGGAGGAAAGTTTATTGCTCTTAACCTTGCTTCCAGGAGTGCCGGATTCCCGAAGGGTTTTGCCCTTTATCTGGAAGGAAATCAGACCTGGATTTAGCTGGAAAACTCTCTTCTTTGAAACCTGACACATCAGATATGCTAGATAATGTTTTGTGAAGTTAACTTGGGAGGTCAACACCAACATGAAAGCTCAGTTATTCCTTACACTGGAGCCCACAGAAGGGGCCAGCAGATGCCAAAGGCGCTTTGCCTTGGGCAAGCCCAATGCTCAGATCTTACCACCACCAACCACAGGGTTCTGTTGCAGGAGGGTTGTTGCAGAGGTCAAACGTGAGCGTCACTTATAGAGCATATAAAGTTGTCTTTGCTGATAAACACTCAGGCAAGCATTTATCGAAGAATTTCTGAAAATACACTTAGTCATTTGCAAATGTTTACAGACATGTAAAACAGATGCATGTAAGACACTAAAAGCTACTGAATTGCAGTACTTGGTCAGAGGGAGTGACCACACACTGGAGAGATCAAAAAGGTAGAAATCAAACCTGTCAGTCATCACTCGTTTAGCAGCTGCCTGTATTTATTATGCTTTTCTCTTATGTAAATCTTAAAAAAAAAAAAGAAAAAAAAAAGAAAAAAAAATTACACTAGGATGGAATTTAGTCTCTGAAATATACAGCTGTTCTAGTGGAGTAAATTTGATGTTGTTTTACAAAGAAGACTTAAATAGGCTTACTTTCCTTAACATAGTGAAACTGAAGCAAGGTGAATGATTATTCATTCTTCCTCATATCACAGAGAATGAAGACATTAAATATGCAGGTCAGGCAGAAATTTTAAAACAGAGGAAAAGTTGCACGTATTTCACAGAGCATATAGTTGTTCTGTGGTACTCATCACAGGACACTGCAGAGGCCAAAAATAAATGCCAGTTCAAAAAGAGATTAGAGAAACTAATGGGAAAAAAGCCTATCAAGGCTGTTAAACACATTGCTGGGAAAGTAACCTTGTGCTCAGGAATTTCCTGAACAACAAGTTGCTGGGAAGGTAGAGACACAAAATGATCACTCTGCATTTGCCAGAATCCTCCATTCTTCCTCAAACCAAGCATCTGCTACTGGCTGTCCTTGGAGACGGGATCCCCGGTGAGATGATCCTTTGGTCTGACCCACTATGGCCATTTCAGGTTTTCGTTACAACAGCTGACAGTACTAGCTTGCTGTCTTAGTTTTCCCATCCAGTTAGGGAGAGCTGTTTCTCCAAAGTGTCCCCTCATGCCTTAGCTTCTCTGAATGTCTTCACAAGGAGGTTACCACCGGAGCAGATACGTGGTCAGCAATTGTTCCCTTTTGCGCTGTGGAGGAAGGCAGTGGGGTAATGCTTGCAACTGCTCAGCAGAGAGAGATGGGCATGTACCAAGGAGGCTGCGCATTCCCCCAGCTCTAGTGGTGCCATTTCTTCCTACTGCAGCCCCACCGTGGCCTACAACATCTTGAACACGACATCCCAGACCTCCTGCCTGTAGCTCAGGGGGAGCTTGCCTGCTCCAAGGCACCCACCCAAGATTTCTGCACAGGAACTGAACTCCCATCTCTTGCAGGGAAGAAACCCCAGGGGGACCATGTGTATACACGGGATTGGAGATGGCTTACTCTGCATCAGGGTGGATAAAGTAAAAAGTTTACAAATTCTATTTCTCTGGGAAAAAAAGCCCCCAGAATAAAACAGGCTGCACAATCAACTGCCATTGCACCTCAGTGATAAGCAGAAAACCAGCCTGGATAAATCAAGATTAGACATACCATATTTGCCTGTATTCCCTTTAGCCCCATATCTCCTTCTAGTCTCCTGGTTAATACTCTGTAGATCAGGTAACACTGTATGAGTGGGACTGATGTGGAATGACTGATGGGGACTGTGGTTTTGGCTGTTCTGCTCCACACTCCCTCTCAAGTCATTAATTATGTCATCTGACATGAGCAGTGCTCTCAAGTTGATATTTGTGAGGTAAGTGATGAATTTCCTCTCCTCCTGATAGCTCATTAGGACATGTTTTATTATGGGAAAATTTGCTGAGGAATTAATTATTCAGGCAAAAACATTTTTGTGAGCAACTTTACTTATATATATATATTTTACCTTCGATATATAATTTCTGTGGTCCAAGAAAAATAATGGCTTCATGTCTAGAAGGTGGCTACCATCTTGATACCAGTAATGTGCTGTTTATTTCTGGAGAGGAGGCACAGAGTCACGACAGTATCTCTGCACAAGGATGATTGTGGTGCAATATGTCTGTATTCTAGGGAGAGAAAAACAGTCCAAATGGCTGCTTTTGAACCAGCCCTTTCAGTCACCCAAAGGCAACTTCTCCCTGATTTACTTGAGTTCAAACAGCTGCCTCATCCCATTTTACCAAGTGGTTTAGCAAATGCAGTTTGCCCCAGGCTCTGGAGTCTGTTTTATTCAGACTCTCTGGTCTGTTTTATTACTATATTAATCCATTATTATTATTATTATTATTCCACAAGTCTTGACCTATGGTATTTGTCCTCTGAAACTAATAGAAACGATCCAGGCATCCCACATATCATTCAATGATAGTTACTGCAAATACCATTTTTTGGAGAGGTTTCTCATGGTAATCACTATCTTTACGAAGGTGTCTGCCACTAGTTCAGAGGGATTATAGACAAAGTACCTAACTGTCAGCCACCTGTCACATCTGCATCTCTTCAAAGATACCACTGCATCATGAATCTCTCAGGGCATCTCATCTGGGAACGTCTTGACATTTTGCCTTTTTTTTTTTTTTTTTTTTTTTTTGCAAGCATTTTTTTTTTAAAGTATCTCCATATCGCTAGGAAAGCTGTCTTGTCTGCAAGGAAGTTATGGGCAGAGAACATGCCATGCTGACAGACAATAATGCAGCAGTTATCAGGAAGCAACTGAATGTCATTAATATGTCCAAATAGAGTAACCTCTGTATTTTGATACCCAAAGAAAAACAGATATATTCAAACCATTCTGAACTGAACAAGGCCAGAATGTGGCTAAAATAGAAATTTAAAATAAAATAAAATAAAACAAACAAACAAACAAACAAAAACCCACAAAAAAAAACCAAAACCAACAAAGAATGCTTGAGCTTTTCAGAGCATCATTAACCCTAAGCTCTGGATGACTAGTGCATGTTAAACTCCACACAGCACCTTTTAGCCTGTGAGAGCTATATCATCTAGTAGAGGCACAGTCCCAAAATAGCACATTATTTGCTACCTGCCCCTCCTGACCTCTTTCAAGGAGGACAGAAGTAACGACAAGGGTAGAACAAACCCTAGCAAGGCTGTGATCCCATATTCTGCACAGGTGAAGAGTGCATCAAAATAAAAGTTTCAGGAGTGAATGCATATTTTCTTCTGGCACCAA